AATTGAGAAACTGCAGATTCAGAGGAATAGATAGTTCTTGTGTTTTACCTTGCAATTCTTCTCTCTCTGCTTTTGGCCAACTCCGATTCACTTTGAGAGATCAACTATTCAAGAATGTCAATTTTGAGGTTGTCCTGCCATAGCTTTTTAATGCCAGAAACACATTGCTAAAGCAGAATGGATAAAAGATAAGCCGACTGTGGGCAATGAAGTAGTTAGGTGTCTTTAGAAGCAATTCTTGCTCGTGAATAGAATCAGATGTGCATATTTAATTCTTTTCTCTTCAATCTAGCAAGCAAACAACATACATTTTATCTCATAGCGAAATGCTCGGATCAAGCTTTACATATACGTAATCTTTTGCAGGTACTATTTTCAGATGTTGGTGAGCTAAAGCGATATGCAATTCACTATGACCGGACTGGAAAGTCCACGGTACATTTTTGCATTTGGTTACTTATATTTCATTGTGAAGATGTTTTCTGGCCACGAGCTTAGACAACAATTTTTTACTCAGGGAACTGCAGAAGTGGTATTTGCACGACATTCAGATGCTTTAAAAGCTATCAATAGATACAATGATTTGCTGCTTGATGGGAGGCCAATCAAAATTGAGATTATAGGAGGTGATTTTGTAGCATATGCTGTGCCTCCATCAAGTGAAGGCGATTTGGGATATCAAAGTGGGGCCTTCAGAAGGTATGTAACATGTCTTCATGTCTTTTGTATAGCCCGTCCTCATGAGCATGTCTTGTTATTTTGCTTCGGAATCTGGCAGCCTATTTGTTCTGCCGTACACCCTTTGTACCAATTTGCTTAATTGCATGTGGTAAGGGAATATTTTCTTTAATATCAGCAATTTTGTGGGGCGAATTGTCAAAGCATGATTTTCTTGGTTGTTACCCAATGAGCTGACATCTCTTATCTGTCTCTCTCAGAGGCATGATTTTTGTTTTCTATTCCGTTTAATCATTTGTTTATTTCTACTGGTCTCAAGGGACCTCTTATTCCCCTCCCCCCCTTTTTTTGGTTTAATTTATTTTAGGTTTGCGTGGTATGTGTTTCCAATCAGTTTTTTTTTTTTTTTTTTTTTTTTTTTTTGTCGAAGTTTCCAATCAGTTTCTATTTTTGTTTTAGAATGTCCATTATCTGACTCTTGTTAAGTGCAGTAACTATGGATTTGACATGTTTGTCCTGGTATGACATGAATTAGTTGTTGAGATGAAGTTTATTGAGGTCCTCGAGTCCTCCTCTTTTCTGGTAGTACGCAATGGTATGTGGGAAAAACTATTTTCTGTAATAAATAAGCATTTCAAGAAAGCCTACAACCAGTAAGATGGCGTCTTTTGCATTGTTAAAACTCGTTTCATATCCCTAATTATATAGTGCGTTGTTCTGTTGGTCAGTAACAGCAGGGATGGGTTTAAGCAAGCAGGGAGACGTGGACAGGAAGGTCGAGGAAAGAAAAATCTTGCTGAAAAAGTCTCAGCCGAAGCTCTTGATGCTGATTTGGAGAAATATCATGAAGGTGCTCTGCTAAGTAGCTAATTTCATACGCAAACATCCCTCTCTCCCCCACCCCCTAACAAAAAAAAAAAAAAAAAAAGTAGTAGCTAATTTCATAATTTTGACTTCCTGGTTCTTTTGGCCTTGTGGGGTGGTTCCCAACATAAACCCTTGTTGTAAATTGTACAAAGATGATTTAGTTGCATTTTGCTGAGGTTTTTTTTTAAAAGTAGATGGTTGCACTGGGAAATTAGCTGACACTGCTACTATTTTACTCCTACAACATTATGATGCCTTTCTTGAATCTCGACATATAAAGTCTACTGTTTCTAGTTTGAGTCTTTGACAATAATACCATGCTACAAGAAAGAGTTCATATGCAATGGTGCTTGGTGGGGGCCAAAAACTTGTGAAACTTTTTTTGGCAAAAAAGCTTGTGAAAGTGATTGTGCATAATTAGTTAACATGCAACTTAAGTTTGCGAAGACGCTTCACTTGTATATCCTTTTCGCAAAAAAAAAAAAAAAAAAAAAGAGTTTGCATTTGTTTCATTCATTTCATTCAACTTTTTTTTAATCACTGCATAATAAGTTAATTTTTGTTTCCTCAGTAGGAATAATAAGGTATTTAAGTTATCAAAATTGGTATTAAAAGAAAAATGAGAAAAGAAGAAATAGGAAAAAGAGTGGGGCAAACTCAAAATTGAGATGATAGACAAATTTTGAAAAATATATAGCGGCGACCATGATCCATGCGAATTGCCTAGTGCAAATGACACCTTTAACCTAAACTCGACTTTTCTTGCTATTATTTGTTGGGTTGATTTAGAGGTGGCAAAATGGGCGGGATGGGCGGGATTTGCTTGGGTTTGAGATGGAACCGAGTCATATGGGTTTGGGCCCAACCTTACCCATATGTGTTTTGGGACTAACTTGGGCGGGATCATTTTGGGATGGGTTTAGATTGATCCCGCCCAATACCCAAATCCATTTTCTACATATTTTTTTCCTTTAATTCATTTTTTATTTTTATATAATTTTAATATTTTTGATTTATTAAATTTCTTTTAGTTTTATTAAATAAACATGCAAGTGCTTTATACTCAAGATTCCCACCAAAAATTGGATTAACAAATAAAGGAAAAGATAGATATACAGCCATATTCCAACATATATCAAGATGGCCAAGGTCCTTAGGATGTTGAATATTTATCCTTATCATTGTCCAAGGATGACAGGTCTAAACTAACTGAAATGCTGGAAATTCTTGTGGATAATGACTAGGAAGACTACTAAATTATATTCGCTGGTATGACTATAAAAATTGTTAAAGATAATTTTTGAATCTAAGATTCTGTTTGGATTGACTTTTTTTTCAAAAAATAAGTTTTTCAAATACAATGTTACAGTAATATACAATAACTCAAGAAACATCCCATCCATATTAATATATCAAATATTTCAAAAAAATTTTATAGTAAAAATTTTTCATATACACTGCTACAATAAAATATTTCAAAAACACCTACAAAAAACAGTTAATCCAAACGGAGCCCTTGCCATTTGAGCCCAATGGGTACCCAAGTATTTCCCATCCTTTCCCATTCATTAATGGGTATAGTTGGGATGTGTCCTAACTTAAACCCAATACCAAATTATAATACCCATCCCGCCCAAAGTTCCTTTGGGCATGGGTAGCCCATTGGGACTTGGGACAAATTGCCAGCTCTAGGTTAATTGTTCATTAGTTCTTTTTTTTTTTTTTTTTTGTCGACACTGGGGTGTCCGGGTCAAGACCCGAAGGCGGCCCGACGGGAGGAGAGGCCCCATCCCCCCAAGCACGGTAACCCTGCACGACTCGAACCCCTGGCAAGCGCTCCTAAGGAGGCGTGCGCTGCCAGATGCGTGCGCTGCCAGATGAGCTGCCCAGGAGGGGCTGGTTGATTGTTCATTAGTTCGCTTCGATCAAAATCTGCTGTGAATCTCGTTCGTGAGACAATAAAATTGAAAAAGTCCAGAAACAGATCCAGGCAGGTATATAAACCTAACAGTTTTTTCCAACTGTCTGGCTGTTGAATATTTGTTCTTCATTTTAACCCAAAGAAGAAGTACAAAATAAAGTAATTCTTCGTTCTTCTACACAAGAACTTTTCGATTCGCATTCGGTAAATCGGAATTTTCTTCATTTACTGAATTCGAATTTTTCGTTCTTTATTTTACCGACCGAATTCGAATTGAATTTAGAATTTTCGAAATCGATAATTTGGAATTCGGCACTGAAATCGAAATTTCAGATTTCGAATTATGCGAATTTGGTTCAAATTCGGTAATGGAGTTTTTGAAATCGGAATTTCCTATTTCAAATTCATAATTTGAAATTGGAAATAGAAATAGAAATTTCCGATTTCGATTTCGTTTTGTAATATATATATTATATATATATATAATAATAATATTTTTTATAATATCTGTAATATAAAATTTATATTATATAACAATACATCTAACAAAAAAGGGAAAAAAAGTTTCCGAATTCGGTGTATTCAGAATTTATCGAATTCCGAATTGAATTCGGAATCGAATTCGAATTTAGAACTGGTGAATTCAAAATCGAATTCGATCAATAATTCTGCCGCCAAATTTTCCAAAAATTTCTAATTCAATCTTCCAAATTACTGAATTTGAATTCGTTGCACACCCCTAATTCAAAAACTTGATCAAGACAGAGACGACTTGGCCAAATCATCGTCAGAATGGAGTTTTCCTTTCTAATACCGATACGAGATGAATCCGAAATAATAGATTGTCGAGAACTTGATCGTCAATTCGAATTTTTATTATTTTTACTAATTTTTTATTTTTTTATTAATCATATATATATTTTTTATAATTTTAAGAATATTAAATGTTTCAAAAATTTGCATCTCGCCGAAACCGCAATCGATATGCCGAAACCGATGTAAAACGATCCAAGTCAGGCCGCGACTTTGAACCTTGAATGGACGCCGGACGCCGTCCTCGAAGAAGGAAGCCCTGGCTTCGAATCCTCGAGGTCATCGTGTGAAAAGTCCATGTTACCATACTTGCGGAAGATCTCATGAAAATTCACGTGGAACTTAAAATTACAATTTTCAGATTGACAATGATTATGTTTTACGGAGGTGCGCGTGAATGTCTTTCATTAGAATATGAACACGAAGCCAATCCCGATGAAAAACATCTAACACCGCTGCCTTTTCAAGACACGAAAAAGGAATAGCTCGTTCCGCTCATACCCTTGCTTCTCTTTTTGGCCATTTGCCAGTTGATGAACTGAGATGAATCATCTTAATCCGAGTATGCCGTCTCTTTACAAAGAATATCTAAGCATATGCCAGAAAATAATCTCCATTTTGTAATGACTCAAATAAACTAATTCAGGCATTTGAGGAACATTCAGTCAAGAACTTTCTATTCCTTGAAGTAAACTAACAGCAACATGAAGTAAAGCAGAACTTCAGTCAAGAACTTTCTATTCCTTGTTATTGAATTGATGATAGCAGCTTTGAACAGTTCCAAATAGAATATATAAGATATTACATTGCCCTCTAGGATTTCACCATTTACATGTTAGGATGGCAAAATTTCTCGACAGCTATCTTACAACTATCGCAACATGATCCTTCCACCCGTTTTCATAATATCGGGGGATGAACATGACAAATCAAAACCACATATTTACAAAGCTAAGAATAATAAGAACTATCAATCATCTCCAAAAATACATACCAAGCAACCTCATATGTGATAAGTGCAGCAATTGAGAGATCTAAACCACAGTATATATTTACCAGGTGGCCATCAAATGAAACCTAATCCACGAGTGCAATCACACGAAGCATTTCAATGTACTGAAGCGAGTATCTCCATATTATCAATTCAATCCAAAAAAATTCTTGCCACCGTGCAGCACATCTAGCAAAAATTCCACACTCAATTCTTGCCAATAACTGTTTCTACAAAGAAGAATAATTTGCAATCTAACATCAGAAAAAGATGACATCAAAAGATTTTAGATTGAATAACTATACTAGCTTAAAGTTATGCAGCTTGAAGGCAATATTTTGCACAGATGCCCTTGGAAATCAGCAAGCTATTTATGTTAGCTAAATAATCACACAAATCAATATGATAACACAACATTTAAAAGTGCATGTTCTTTAAGGGCAAGGAATCATTTTATGGCGCTCTCGTAGAGTATGTAAAAACTGTTTTATCGATTTCAATCTTCACACACACCAATACTTGAAATCATGTCATGTTAGATGGAAGCTGTTTGTAACATGAAAGCAAAAAACTCAAGCAACGGTTACTGTAACAAGGCAATACAAAAATGAGAAGTAAAACACATAGATGTGTTTGTATTTACAGTAGAAGATATATATCAGTACCTGAAAAAGATCCAAATGCAGTGGCCATGTAATCAATTCATGTCCTTCACTCTTTGAGCTGGATAATCTTGGATGTGCAATTTGAGCACTTATCCACACACAACATGAAGCATCACAAATTTAATAAGCCGAAGATATTTCCAGAAGTCCGCAACATGATCCTGATGAAGAAGCTAGTCATGAATTTCCTTGTAACTTGCAACACAAATTTTCTTGAAGCACACAAAGAGCAAGTATGCTAGAGTATGAATTAACTTCAGCACCCATTCTCTTGGATGTCATACTTTGGCCAGGTAAAGGAACAAATACACATCTTCAACTGTTTGATGCAAAACAAAAATGTAGGCATCCAATAGTCAAGCCATTAAATATTTAGCAGCTATACCCACAATTAAACTTTGTGATCATCAGGAGCGATAAAATTCACTTTCTGATGATAGCAACAGAAGGTGGTGGATAAGCACCAAAGTCATTCATTTGAAAGCTGAAGTAAGCCTCGCATCTGGAGGTAGGGATTCTCTAACAGCTTTTCATTGTTACTCTGCAAATTTGAAGTACAAGCCACCTTGACATTAGTTAAATGAACTCTATAGAAGCAGGAAATTAATGACATCAAAACATTGTTAATGCTATATGCATAGTAATTCCACCAAACCCCCCCCCCCCCCAAAAAAAAAATCAACTGAAAAATCACCCAACCACATGACATGACATGAAAAATGAAAATCCGAGTTTTTTACAGAAACTATTATAGCTAAGCTACTCCAATCTCTACCTAAATGTGAAACCTCGTTAAGAGGAAATGAGTCTAAAACAGGGCTAGAAACACACGGTTCTACAAAAAATTGTGTTAAGTGTTAGGCTTGGAAGTCCGAGCAACAGGAGAAAGCACTTCTTACCGATGCCCCTGCATTGTATATTATGTATGCTTGTATATGCACCAATCTACTTTTTCATTTATAAGTTGTTTGCTATATACAATTAAAAGTATACATAAAGATGCTTGTATATCTCAAATATTTTTGAGAATTACAACTTCTTCTTAGGATATCTTTATATGTGCACCATCCCATTTACAAATCTTCAATATGTTTTAGGGTCTCAAAAATGAGCTTGAAATGTTGACTACTGAACTTTTGAAATTTAATGTTTGCATATGAAATCAACTTCAAGCTTGACTTGATTGCAAAATTTGCTAAACTTGCGGCAAATTTTGCTCTGGCTCAACTTCATGCAAGTCCTAAACTTGAACTTCACATTTCTCGCTATTGTATCTAATAATAAAATGTTAAGTACTTTAAATACCAACTAAATTGACATACACCATCAAGTTGTAGCTCCCTGTTGCTCCATGCAGTGTTGTAAACTGTATAATGTTCATAAGTTTTTATTTTTATCATTTCTTTTGTTTCATGAAGGGAGAGGAATGGGATGCCGCCATTTCTTTTCTTCTTTTTTGACACCATGTAAAGGATGAAACATTCTCTTTGCACCACCCCTTTCCCTATCCAAGCCTGATTATAGGACAACCTACCTGTTGAGCTCTTGAAACGAGACTATGTAGCATTCTTTGATAATTTTCTGGTTCTTCCGTCATCATTCTCTGCAAAATTATCTAATTCATCAGTAAAATCTTCCCTTGAAGATAGTTCAATCTGATGGTCAAAAGCATAAAATGACACTTACCTTCAGAAGAAAAGTTGAAGAATAATATGCCACTCTAGAATCCGTATCATCTAACAACACCCTGTAAAAAAATGTCTGTGTAAAAAAAATGCTATAGAATAGATGGGACCCCATCACTGAAGAAAGTAAAATTGCAAAGTACCTAAAAAACTGCTCTCCACCAAATTCCTTAAAAGCTGCAGGATCTGCAGTACATTTGCCAATTAAAAGTAAGAGAAGCGTAGCTCTAATGTCTGAGGTAGCACCAGGTACATTTCCTCTTCCTTTGCTACCCACAGAAACGCCCAAAGCAATATTATCTGTTGCAGAAGCTGCAAGTTGGATAAGAGGCCAATAAAACAATGCAGCAGGAACACGTGCAACCAATTGCATAGGAACAATGGCCTGCCCATGAAGGAGTAGTGCTGCCATGGATGCAGTCTCTCCAACCAAGGGATCTTTGCTTGGGTTAAATGTGCTAGTAGTATCGCCAAAGGTCTCATCCCAGCTGTGACTCTCATTTCGAGTGAAATGTTCTGAATCAGCTTTCTTGTTCCAATCTACACTAGAATCTCTATTTCCAAGCATGACATCTCCTAGTGGGATTGCACTTGTAGGTAGAACTTTCAGGCATAATTGAGAAAACAGAATGTCACACATCTGACCAAGTGCAGCAGAAAGAAATATGGATGTTAGGAAAATCAAAATACAAATAAGAAACAAAGCCACATTTAGACATTTGAAGATAACAGAGACCGAAGTGTTCATTGCTCCATATATAGAGACTTCAGCAACAACATCAGCAAAAAGAAGTATGTACCTCAAACAGGAATATTGTTGGCACTGACTTGCTAACTACTTTAGTTAGTAGAAAGAATAGTTGCATCAGATGAATTACAATGAATCAATGACATAATAAACGATCATTTGTCTGAGAACCTTGTAAAATTTTTCAAATAAATTAACCATGAAATCAGTGTATTCATCTATTTGTGGGTACAACCTAGAATGGAACCTTCGGGAGCCTAAGAGAGGTAGTTCTTCGAACCTCACTCTAGAAGATGATCTTATTTAGGGTGTAAGAATGAATTCTCTTAAGGATCAGATCATTTTATGGTACATGGTAACAAGAAATAAAGCAGGAAAAAAATCTTTGCCTCTAATAAATCCATGTGATAAAGCACTTAAGCCTTATCTTTTAGCAAAGGCTGCAAATTTGTACTGTCTGCATGAAACGACCTCCTATGCTGCAAGAATTTTGTAACTCCAGATTATGGTTTCTAAAGCAAACTATTTGAATGAATATTCACTTTCACATAAAATAAGGAAGATAAAATTAGACAAGAAGAACCAATAGCAATACACATAAGAGAAAGAAGAAAGCTGACAAAATAAAATCTTATAACTCACAAATGCTGAACAATATTTGGATAATATAGAAGAGTATTTTTACACCATCTGTTTATCTCCCAAAGCATGTGCTATAACAAAGGATAAAGAGGTTTTGTTACCATTGGATCCCATGCCTTTAATTGGACTTGGGTCAGTTTCAGAACTCCAGTCAAAACTGCATCTTAATAAAGGAACAAGTTGCTAGCCTAAGCAACAATCATTATTTCAAGACATCCTCTAAACCCTAGCAAAGTTAATATCACAATGCCGAAGAAAAGTTCACTACAAGTATTTGGTTTCTGCAATTCATGAAGAGAAGAAGCAGTCAAGACATGTTAAGTTGGCTCAAACAGGAAGCAGTTTTCATCAATAAGATATCAATGCATCAATGTCATAAGAATATGCCAAACTAGAATCTGGGTACAGATGGTTTCCAGGATTTGCTAAAATAACAAAAAGGGGCCAGAAGAAATTACCTTCAGTATGTTCATATGATCAGTTTCATTTATCTGAGCCATCAAAGACAAAGCACTGCTCATAATATCTATAACTGCATTTGCTTTCTCAAGACGACTCTTGTCATTTATATATCCAGAAGCTTCAACATTGATCGCATGATGGACTTCACTCTCATCTAAAAGAAATTTACTTCGCATAAGAAGCCTCTCAAGGATGTATAGAAAGCCCCACCGGATGAAACTATTCTTGGATCTTAGAAGTCCACAGAAAAGCCATATATGCAGTGGTACATCCAAAGCAGCTGAATAATCATTAACACCAGCAAGGGCAATTTTCTGCTCCAAATTTTTAATTCTTGACCAAATACTTGTATCACCTCCCTCACTGATTTCTGCTATTAGTAAATCCCCCAACCACAAATAACCATGGTGGCGATACAAATTTCTTTCAGAATGAAGAAGAGAATGTAAAGTGGCCCAAGACAGCTTTGCCTTCATGCTCAAGCTGTTTCTCCGATATCTTTCAATACTTTCCAGAAACTTACAAGATTTAGCTGTCTTTATCATGTGTGCAAACTCTTTGTCCACACGAGTAAATGAACTTATAAGTGCATCAAACTTCTCAACAATTTTCTCCATAAGCTGCAACAGCAATGAATTTTATGTTAAGCTTAAAATCGTAACACAATGAAATTTTCCAGGCTAAAGTTACTGTAGTCGTCATTTGCAGGGAGGAAAATGGAAATGAAAGAATTCAATGTCCACATTATAAAACTGTATAAACAAGATGTCTGGGTAAGGATACCAAAACAAAAGTAAAACATAATCTATAAAGCGCTCATCGTTTCTGATCAGGTTGGGACAAAATAACACCAGACATAAATAAAGGAAACTTAAAGTCAGAGCAGGACCAAGATATCAAACTCAGTGCCATCAGCAACGCTGAGGGATAATTAGGTCTAGCAAGTAAATCAAATTTAACTAATAAATAGCCATAATAAGGTTGTTGCCAACATAATGTATACCATATCTTTCGGTTATTCATTTACCATATCTTTCGGTTGAATAACTTAGAAATATTGTTCAGCGAGAAACCTACAAACCCATAAAAATGCCAGTAATGCTGTTTTATACACCTATCTTCCCTCTTTTATACTGCACACAGCAATATGACTATCCGCATTAAAGACCTAACATCTTGTCTATCACAATTCTGATGATATGATTCATCTGAATCACTATATTAATTCATTCATCATTTTTATGCATTCTCTTTCCAAAACAAATTAGCATTTTTTCCCATCGATAGTGGTCATTCCATTCTCACACACAAGGCTCTGTAAAACTGCTATAATAAATGGTTCATAAATGTTCTTCCACCAGTAGCTTGAATTCATGATTAAATTCCACCTTTATGTTCATCTACAAAGGAAGCATTCAATTTAAGTAAACTACTTGTCTGACAGGCAATGAGCTTCAAGATCTAGGAATCCTAGTTTGGAGAAAAGACTCTTGCAAGTCTTCCATGACCTCTTCAAGTTGCTTAAAAATACTAAAAGCCCTGATTATTGTTTATAAGAACTACTAAATTGTAATGCCAAAAAGATAAACTCCATAAGTAATTTCTGTAAGAAATTTACCGTAAAGTTCCTATTTTACATGAAGCTGGTCAAGCAGTTGAAGTAAACTGCCTTTTCAGTAAAAAAGTTATGCAGGTAAGTTCACATAAAATATTACACAGTGAATTATATTGCAAAAAGGTGAAATAATGTCAGTTCCATCAATGTGGGAAATTAAGGAAGGAATGTACTGCTTCAGATGGTAAAGATAGTAGAAGTGAAAAACCAAGTGACTGTTATTTGTCTCTGTTTCATGATAAAAGGGATGTACCAAATACTACGAAGGGAAATGGTTAACAGGTTGAACGAAAAAGAATTCACTATCAATCTCACTACCATTCTACAATGGAAGGGACAAAAAGTTGGGACGATATAAGAAACAGGTTGAACACTTGTCTCCACTTTTTGAGTCTACAAGAAGGAATTTAGTTCTGTACACCTCAATCCCTCTAGTATGAGAACTTAAATGGTGCAACCCTGTGTCTCCAATCAATCATAATTGCAATCACACTAATTATCAATTTTTCAGTACTGAAGTAAAAGAAACACGACACCATTCACAGAACAGATTATGCAACAAGTCATGCTCCAATCTCAAAATCTCTTGACACCACAATTGCCTCTCAGGATTGGAGATGGTTATACAACCTGAGATTTCCAATTTACGAACTCAAGATAAACAAACTAAGAAGCTGTTTTGTGAACAAAGTCAAATAAGAAGGCATTACCACAATAAGGCGATCGCTATTGGGATATCTCGACAATGCAGTAGAAACTGATCTCCTCAAAAGCTCTATAATGCCATCAACTCCAAGCTTAACAGAAATATGTAAAGCTTCAGGGGCATCGGCAAGCATAAGCAAGTTAGCAATTGGTTGGACCTCTTCATCATTGTATTCAGACTCCCCAGTTGCAATACACTTCTCATTTATTTGATGTAAGACGTAGTCAAAGAGCACCAGGTACAAATTTCTCCGTGCATCTCTGGAGTTTGAAAGCACTAACTGCATTTGTAAAGTAAGTGAGGTAAAGAAATATCAATGTGTTCAAGCGAAGTTTAAGTTGTCAAAAAGCTCAACAAGTTTTTGACAAAATATATTAAGACCACTTCACTACAGAAAAACAGTAAGTTAAAACCCTGCTACTTTGATCAAAACACAACAAAATTGGGCAAAAGTCACCCTGCTATATAAATTTCTTCAATTTCTTAATTGCCACCTAATATCACGTCGTATCGAATTGAAATATAAGATCAAATTTATCATGTGCCTGATTTCATCAAAAAAAAAAAACTTACACAATTTGATCAACAACTAAGTTCAATCCATGTACATCCAAAATTTTTCACCATAAACTAGATCAAAATTAGCGAAAATTTTACTTGGCTTCAATACTTTGAGATCAGTTGATGTTTTTGCGCAAAATTTGAGAGTTGGATAATTACAAGTAACTGCACCATTTTTCAATGATAACCCAAATTCATGCCATAAATGATATGCACAGAGTTAAAATTGAACTATACAAAGAATCTGATTCAATATGAAGAAGATGGCAAATAGTGCCTCATTCTAATAGTTTATTTGGTCAAGAATATCATCAATTTACACAGCAAATAGGGAATCAAAATAAATTCACATGGCAGAATGATTTTTGCCCAACAAAATGCAAGCCTATTTCCATGTCTAAAGAATCTATACCTGCAACAAATTATAAGAAGTAATTAGAGGTATACCTCAACAAAAATAAATTCAATTCCTCCAATCAGATCAATTTGCTCAGTAAAAAACATAGGGGTAGCTGAAGCAGAATTAATAGAACCATCTGGAACTTCATAAAACATGTTTGTCAACATGCAGATAAGCTTGCTTCGAACTACTTCTGCCCAACAATTTAGCCGGCTTATTGTCAACAAAACCTTGATAACCTGCAAACAGATCCAAAAACGATGATTTTGGTCCAACTCTTCATCAGACAGACAATGATATAAAGGAGAGAACAGTTCAGTATACATGGTTACTGAGTACACGAACAATTAGATGAAGATTTAACCTATCGTTTGAATTGGGGCAACTTCTGTTGGAGATATTTCTTTTATGCTCTGAAAGGAAAATGGTACAGACAGTTCATATAGTCAATTATGTATAGTTAATGGAAAGATTAGACCAGAGAAATTACATGCTGCTTTCCCTAATAAAGTTCCCTATGAATTCAAAGCTAATAGAGAAGTAGATTCAGTATCAGTCATAGCTCACACAACAAAGAACACAGTGTTGAACGTGTTGATCAATTTAATCCAGATTGTAATCTTCTATATAGAAGGAGAGGAACAATTGATGCAGAGCAAAATATTCTCTTTAATATGTTTCTGTATCTCCTAAAGGTGTCCTTTCACAAACTTATTAACCGCCCTTTGTTAAGGTTTCACGTCCAGCTTGGATGACAGTACATTTTAAGTTTTGCAGGACCATTCATAAAGAATAATGAAGGCTAGTATCCCAGGACTCACTCTTATGTCAAGTGCTTTCAATCTGCTCCTGCGGATTTTGCCTCTATCACAGACAAAATACAATAAACAGCTTAACGCAGAAGCCCAGATAGATTCTTCCTTCTCTTCTACCTGTGAGGAAAAATAATTCTCAAGAATTATATAAAATAAGGAACAGAAATAGTAAACTCTGAGATGAAAAAAAATATAACTCAAACAATTCATATTAGTGATTTAAAGACAGACTAATCAAGCAAATAATCGACTTCTAAACTTAGAGATAGTCTATGCTCAATTTAAGAGTATTAAACCATGCATATAAGGTACTTTGGCACCTTAAAATCAACTTAATATATCTAATCTACTATCTATATGAAAAGATCACATGAGGTAACTACAAATGGAAGAGCCAAGACACTCATAATGTTCAATCATTTGCTCGAGCATCACTTTTACCCCTTGTATAAACATTAAATTGAGCTAGAATCCAGTAACTCAGGAACTTTAAACACGACGAACCCAGAAAAACAAAAAGTGCAGCAGTTAAAGAGGTTCTTTCATCTACTTGCTTCCACAAGATGGTATATGCAAGCTGATCAACAGATCAAAATCCCATTTGCTGACAAAAATGACATAGTTGGATTAGTAGCAATGTGACGTGCACATTGGCGTGAAGAGTGAGCTCATTTTAGGCCTCATCTATAGTTGCATACAATGTATATTTAAGGCAAAAGATCATACTTTGCAGACAGCATTTTGTTGGAAATAGGGAACACTTCAACTATATCCAAAGAAATCCTGATGGACCTAATCCACTATAGTAATGCTATACCTGGACAACATAATATCCTGAACAATATTAACAGCATGCTAAGAGCACATCTTTTGCTAGTGACAAAGAGTTGGTAAACCTTTAGTTATTAAGGAAGGCTACAAATAGCATCGGAGACATGGCTAAGTCAAAAACTCGTGATTATGATGAGCTGGTTGTTAAATTTTTGAGGCTGAAAAACTTTCTAATCAACAAGTACAAGTTAAGCAAACCTTTGAGAATTAAGGGAGGCACCTTAAAGATACTAAGGTAGTCATGAACTGAGTAATGGAAAAAGATCAAAGCTAATGATGCACATATTTAAATTATGTGGTTTAAATAAATTAGTACATTCAGTGATTTGTTTTAGAAATTTTTGTCCATCATATTAGATGTTTGAAGTGGCAAACCAGGGACAGGTGTAGGCACAATTCTAGGATCATTCAGGTATGTACCTGCACAAGATGAAGAAGGACCTCAGAGAGAATGCCTAAAATCCAGCATTCAAATTTGTCAACAGCTGAGCAATTTCCCATTTTCTTAAAATAATCCATCTTTCTCGTTGCCTCTGAGGAAGGTGGCATTTCATTGTCCAAAATTTGTTCCTGAGAATACTCTTCGTCAACTGGGGAGTCCTCATCCTGCGGTGGAGGCTCCAGTAGATGCGCATGAACACCTAGGTTCAGAATTAAATCAAAAGCCCGAGTTTTTGATACCAGCCTTGGAGAATTTAGCATTTCCTGCAATCAGATTTTATTACCATGAAAATATCCACATTCTACCACTGACAGCCAACATGTAAACAAAAGAGCACCTCAAGCATAAATAGAGTGAGTGGACCAGCGGTCTCAGAATCCAAAACATACCTACAAAACAAATTAGCGTTCATCACTAGCAGACGAGTAAGAAAGAAAATACTTGCATCAACTAACACACATAATTGTATGAAAATCTAATTCAGTTTTCTCCCCAAATTTGAATGGGAAACTTTAAGCTTAAAATCTTTATTTCAATCAGCTCAATCATATCAATTCTTGGCCAAATGCACAGATACACACACACATACACAATCTCTCTCTCTCTCTCTCCCCCTCGTATGTGCGTGTAAATGTGTATCTGCACCTTGTTCGAAGAATTTATGTATGATTCAGAAATTATCTTGAATTCATCCTTACACTAGGATGTGAAAAATATAGTGACCATTAAACAATTAGACGTGAAGCATACAAACTGTTATCAAATTAAAAGCATCTGCTGCAGTAGTAACCATGCTACATGAAAGAAGATAAAAGCATTGTCAGTATATTTAAGAGAGGGAGGGAGGCAAAAGTAATTTCAAAGTCAAAATTTTGTTAATGCCAACTACCAACAAAACAAAACATAGAACATACATGTCAATCACGAGTTTGACAAGCACGCTCACTGCCACATCCATTGATGGCTTTCCACTGTTATTACTTAATTTAGATGAGACTGTCATGAAATTAGCATTTGGAGAACGTGTCTCGGTGCAAACTGCAGCTATAACCTCGCATACCTCTGCCGCATTCAGACGCAAAGGCTGTTGTTCGCTGATAACATTCAAATTCTCATTTCGTAAGACAGGTAATAGAGCATATTAAACAAAAGGCAAAAAATTATAGATCAATGACAGAGAAACCAAGAAAACAGGAGGACAGTATGTATGTAGGAACTAATTTCTGAATTAAAGAGTCTCCAAAGTTCAGACAATATATTAGTTCCCTATTCGGCTAGAACTTTTCCTCTCTGACCCTGGCAAGATACAAGGGGGGGCATCGATCAGTACAGTTTGCAATCATTCTAGGTATCTAAATACTCTTAACACTCAAACTGAAGAATACCAGATAATATGCAGTTAAAACAACTAATGCTGGTTGATCCAGTTGGTAGTCACAAATCCAAAGCACAAAATGTTCTACAGTCAAATGGAAGATGCATAAAGAACAACATTGTTCCACATATACAAGCCAACAACATGGTTCAGAATACTAATAATGTTTAGCATGACGTTCATCAACAGCATTATCAATGAGTGTATGAAAGGAACTAGAGAATAAAATTCAAAACAGTTCCGCCTTTAGAACCAACTAAACAGAGAGTCATCACACCCTTCCATTCCTTTCACCCTTCTAATATGACTCTAATTCTTATTGCAAGAGCTACAGATGCTCTCTAGTGTGCAAAAAGAGCTACCACAAACATAAATACAACTATACTAGTCATAGTCAGAAAGAACATAGAAAAGAAAATCAGATGCTGCCAATATAAGAAATCTGATATCATAATTGAAAGTATTCCTGCTCTGTATACCTGTAGTGCCTGTACTGGAAAAGCGGTTTTGCACGTGGACGGAACATACTTATGGGCGAATCTTCCCTGACAAACAAAAAGCATGGCTTTCAACACCAAAAATTACGCTCTTGAATGACAAAAATATCAGACAACTTGCTTGAAATACTTACTCGCAGCAAAGCACAAACAAGGGTAATTACGACATTTTAATTACCAAGTATCTACCCAATCATCTTACTATCCAGCATATCCAGTACATTTAGATTTGTAATTTAAAAATTCACAAAATTTAGGAATTCATATCCTTTCTCAGGAGATTATATCCTCATCAGGTTTCTAGTCCATGGAGTGATGATCACACGGAAAAAAATCATAAATAATTTATCCATTTTCTAATGTCATCATACATACTCATATCAAGCACTAAAACTATGTCCTAACATGGCCCATCTCTAGGAGAAAGATCAAGTAAATCAGGACCGTTGATCATAAGTTGTCACCATGTTTTCATTGTCTGTCTAAAAAATTATAAGAAGATAAGCAAATACCTTCAGTAGAGATATGCATTTGGACTTATATCACTGATTCTTTGAGTTGATTTACATAGAAATTTGAAAACGAACTAATATATCAACTATCATGTGTCAACTAAAGGACAAGCCTACGGTGCCATTTAAAACTTCTGGACATAAAAATGGCCTCGAGGCTAAAACATATGAATTCCTAGATTTGCATAGCAAAGAAATGCAACCATGATAATATAAGAATTTTCAAAAAAAAATAAGCATAAGCTCAAATATGTGCATCCCACTAAAAGACAAGCAAGGGATGACTTATGAGTGCTAGTTACTGGAAATTCATGAAAGTCACCAAACCATCAACAATTATCTTTCAATATGTTAACACTCTATAGTCTATACAACAGGAGATATTCAACAGGAGAGGAGAAAAAGCTCTTTACTTTAACAGTTTCAGCAAGAAGAATTTCATATCTAACACTATACATGTATACATGTCTCAATTACCAGCAACCAAACAACTGGTGAATATTAGCCGATGTTAACTTATCAAAGGAGTAATCATGACAGGAAGAGCAGGTATGTAATAAAATATCAAACAGCAAGAATCCAGGAGTCAGAAGAACGTACCAGATTTGTTGAGGTCCTGGTTTAGAGCGTTTTAAGGCTGTTATTGCTTTTAAGTGCGCTCGAGCAGCAGCAGAATTGGTGACAGTTGTAAGCAAAGAAGGCTGTAAAAGTTGATCAAGATATGGCATATCAGCAGTCCCAAAAGCTCCCCATGGTTTGCCCTGCATTTTAGCTTCCAAGTCCCCTACAAGAAGGGCTGCAGCACCTACTTCCAGAAAATTATGTGTGCTGACATCTTGGGGTTTCAAAACATGATCACTGAAAGTTTGGAGATGTAAGAATCATACACAGCCACTGCAAAATGCTAAAAGAGATAAAAATTAGTGTTTCCAATCACTAACAGACGAAATCAACTACCTTTTAGGTGAAAGAAGTGACGACTGTTGATCTCTACACCAGCGCCATTTAAAAATGTCAAGGGCTATGTATTCGTAGTCTTCAGATACATCAACTTCTTCAGGAATTGCTGAGTCTGAAACCGATAATGCAGAAGCTTCTTTCTTTTCAGAAGCTTCTTTAGAATTTACTGGACTTAACTGGGAATTAAAAGATTTACTCAATAAAGATGACAAAGTTGGAAGTGACTGTCTTGAGGCAGTTGGTGCTCCAGCAAAAGCTGCAGGCTGGAAGGACCGTCTTGGGATGTATTGAGCCACTAAAGAGCGAACATAGCTCAGTGACTTCACCAGTGCTCCTGATGCAAAACTTGATACAGGCAAAGGAGAAACATTTGTGGATGTAGTGGGCGCTGCAGATTGCAGGTTTAAAGAATGAGAGTGGGCTGCCAATTTATGGTTTGGGTTCAAATTGCACTCAGCAATTATGCTAATGCAAAACCGATCTATGTGCTGCAATGTCTCCTCACTAGGTTTATATCTGCAAAGCATCAAAAAGGTTTGCAGAATCACTAAAATGAAAGAGCAAAATAAAAGCTCATTCTGCGAGAAGTAAACCTACATATATAGTATGCGTGCTATTTAGAGGTAAAGGGGATTATTGAGAGTCCAACATACTTGGCAAGCATTATGAACTTGCAACCTCAAGACCAACTTAACTCACAAAATTACCACCCTCCTTTCAATAACTTAACATGCAATAGAAGATAAACCCATTTCAAAGCACAAGCTAAATATATCGTCTAATCAGCTTAATTATTAAAGCATAGATGACTACTTAAGCTACGCAAGGAACCTTGAATGTGATTAAAACAAGAAGGTTTCCAATGTTATGGAATAGAAAGCAGTAAACATTAAAAGACGATAATGAGGAGATGAAAATTAGAATCAAAACATAAAATAAAAATAGATAACCAGTAGCTCAAACTAGAAAAAATGGAAGCTTCCCCATTTTTATAACCAAAATAAAACAAGGGGTAGTTGCTATCGAAAGAGATCAAACATATACTATTGGAGAATTGGCATTTATCTGCTAATAATTCCAATGCTGAAGAAGCAGAGTCAATCTCCACAAAGATAGCAATTTAATCTAAGGAAAGGAAAAGAAAGAAAGAATATGAAACCAGTCATTGATCCTTCATTTAGTAATTTACTTAGTGAAGGCATGATGAAGTAAAAAAAGAAAAATAGCAGGGTGCTACTAGATAAAATTATGGACAAACACAAACAGGAAAGTATGAATCACAATCATCTTCCTTTTGCCAGACACAACTCTCACCAAAACAACTTTAAAGCAAGCAGAACAGCTTTATAACACTGGAAGATTAATTCATCCAAGGGAAACAAATGTTGAAATTTCTAATTCTAGAAATCCAAATCAACAAGTAGTGATCTTTTTATTGAATTAACTCTAATCACTTCAAACTACCATGCATGGATAACTACGTACTTATTGATTTACCTTTAGTACACAATTATAGCAGTTGCAAAATATATATTATTGTGCATCAACTCCTAAACACGGTTCAATATGTGAATTTATAGCTTAGAGAAAGAAAGAATGCTTATATACAATACCCAGACTGACCTCAAAAGATATCGCTTCAAAAGTGACACACACCTTGCAACCACCGCTGGACTGGTCAAACAAAAAAGTATTGCATCAGCAAAAATAACAGAGTAACAGAAAATTATTTATGAACATCATCTAGAAACTTTTACTCAATTTCAATGTAAAGGAGAGAAGACACGTTGCCCAACACAAGCAAGTATTGCATTTTTAAACCATCAAAAAAACTGCCCAATCTAGTCTTTAACAGGTCTCTTAAAAAGTGAAGAGTTTCACTTTAGGAAGAAATTTTTTATTCTCTAAAACAATAGTGGGACAGATGGTTTGGGAAAGAAAGAAGCATATACTCTATCCTAGATAAAATTTTAACTTAGAATTAACCGACTGAGAAGATGACAATAAACCACCCTTAAGTTCCTATCTATCCTGTACATTTGCATGACTTAACTGCATTAACTTTCACTCCACGAGCTTTGAGATTTTCATCTAGGATATCTAATGTTTAGAATTTTTTCTATTCTTGTTTGCTCCAATTTTGATCCATGAGTTGGATTTCCCTGAATTTTTACATACCACCTATATGGTTTGCAAATTGGTTATTCACAAGACTAAGCCCAAAAGAAGAGAAAACAGAAATATTTAAGTTTTTTACTCAATCTCCATCAAGAATAAATAATTCTCCAAATCATTGGTCCAAGACTTGTCTAACAGTAAAAGTGAATGGCAAAGCTAAGAAAGGTGCTTCAAATAATCAGTCTACCAGGCAGTTCATCTGGGTAAATCTGCATACTGAAAGTGAGAATGCAATCTCAGAAGAAGCTCTCCTACTTTTAACAGGCAATATAACTTCATCTGTTAGGCTACAAGGTTGCAAGTTTCATGGTTACAAAAATAAAACAAATACAAACATACCCTTTTCATGAAAATGCAGCTCAGTTATTCCTTGAGGGATTATAAAAATACTTAAGACTCGATTAAATACACCCAAAAGTCTTGCGCAAAATACCAAGACCTAAGGCCAATTCATGGTCAGAAGTCCAAACCCAATATTACTGCAAATGACACATACTTGGTCTTTCTCGAGAAGAACTTTAGGATGAGAAGACCCGTGAAAAGATATGTTGGCAGAAAAAAACACCAAAACTTGCTATAACTCTCGAATAAACAATTTGACAGTATCGAAACCATATGCAATACTTGAATGTGTAATTTATGTACCTGCGTTCTCTTTCTGCAAGTGTATGTTCTAAAAGCACACCATAAGCCAAGTCAGTTGTTGAGTTTGCTGCCAAGTAATCCTGCCATAGATAGATAATCTCAACCATCCACCATGCTAATTTTTAATTGTATTATGAAAACATGTACTTGGTGATTCAAAAAACCAAAGTCCGGGGTGAATCATATTTTTACAAATGAGAAGGCCCATGCACCCCATATATAGTGCATTTTTTTGCTGATATTTGAAAAATAAAATGATTCAAGAAAGAGTAAAAGGTTACAAACATACAACAGAAAACCAAGAAAGCAAGCAAAGTTGTATCTTCAAAAAAGATATTAACATGAAAAACTTACGCCTTTTCATCTCACCTTATGCAATTTGATGTTCAGATGGATGAAATCATTTTGCAACAAAAAATCTTGTCCATTTCATTAATAGATTACTTCCCTTGTGAAAATCATCTTTAAATTTATTCCGCCATCATAATAATTCCCCACGAGGCATGTCTCGAACGAAGAGGCCCCACATAATGGCTCATTAAATCTCATTAGTTTCCATGACAAGGGAGTTCTTTGTCTTATAGTAATTTTCAACACTGCTATTTAATTATCGCTTGTCCTAAGCGAGATTGGATGGATCACAGTTCTGCTGAACTGAAGATACTTAATCCTAGGGGACAGCTAAATTTTAGTCAAAGTAACTACATAAGGAAAAAATTCAGAATGTTCGCGGTCAATAATTTGGTAGCCGTTAAAATCAACAGTGGGCTCGGTCAAAACACCCAAGAACAACATGAAGCCAACACTTTCTGATGCAAGGTTCTCACTGAAGAGTAGTGGCATTTTTATATAAACATGCACGTGTACCTTTATCTCTCTTTTAGCATAGTAATACAAGCGTGTACGTGTTCTATCTCATAATTATATACGACCTGTCATTTCAAACTACTGACTGCCAAATCCAAGCAACATTTAAAAACAACAGTCAATACCGTTTCTTTCCTCTTTTCCTTCTCCATTTGAACACAACAGTCATCATTCTACACTCTCTAACACACTTACATAAAGCGAGAGCCTTTATGTAAAAGTAAGTAGCTGATGGCCAAGTCATAACCAAAAAAATTCACATGTCCCCCTCCCACTCTCTAATTTCTCCTTTATACTTTCTCTTCTCTTCATTTCTCTTAATGCAGGAGATAAATTCGTGAGAAAGTTGCTTTAACAGCAGCATAGTTGCGAAATCTCTAAACAGGGAAATAAACGTTCAGAACCCTCATGCAAAATCCAACCTTTACAACCCCAACTTTTGGCATTATATAAGTAAATATTCATAATGCAGCACATTGTCACCAAATCTATGCAAAGCTCCGAATGCAGAATAAAGCACTCAATTAAAATAAAAATAAAAAAAAAGACTTTCCAATTAAATGCAGACGAGCAAAATCAAATTCAAATTAAAAGAATTAGCGCGAAATCACACACCGAAACGGCATAAAACCCTAACTTCAGAACCAATAAAACAAGACAAAACAGCTTAAACAGTTGAAGATCTAAATTGAGCAAAGAGAATTTGTAAATTCAAACCCGAAGAGTCCGTAAAGCTTCGGAGGCGGCTGCAGAGAAGCTCCCATGGTTGGACGGAGCCGAAGACGATAAACAGTCGGCAACGGCTCGGCGGAGGGGCTCCGGCGGCTTCTTCAGCGATGAAGATCTAAGCCTGGAAGCACTGCCACCTCCGCCCAATTGTATCCTACTACTGGCCGGGCTTCTCGACGGACTGTTAAAGCTCGTCGTCATCGATTATTATATTAATGTATATACCGTATATATATATGTATGTATAAATAAACAGTACATATAATACAGTATATATCTATACATACATAAGAGTGTGTGTGTGTGTGTGTTTTTTTTTCTCCTTTTCTGGGGAGGCTCAGATTTACGTAGAGCAAACGTGTTGGTCCAAATTGAAGCGTCTGTTTCACTACATTTGAACAAGAAAACAGAGACTGCGCTTTTATGGGGAGTGTGAGAGAGAAGAGGGATGGGGGCGGTGTATTTTGGTGGGTATGAATCTGATTTCTGATGTAGAAATTCTTCCGCTACTGATGAACAGTGTGGGGAACATTAGCGGAGATTAACTGTTAAGTATGACGAAGGATTATTAGCTGTCAAGCGCTAGCTGCGCTACTAATTGGCCCCATCCTGTTTCTACTTTGATGCTTTCAGCTTTTAAGGGGTGCAAAAGGATAAATACGGTAATACAAATCTAGTAGGAGTAAAAATTCTTTGATGCTTACAGCTTTTAATGGTGGCGGAAAAGGATAGACACGTCAATACAAATTTAGTAGCAGTAGAAATTGACTATTTCGCTTCGGATTCAGGCCATGATGAAATTCACAGTGAATATTTTACATTCTTCTCATTTAATATAGAATTTTTCTAATTGGTGTCTAATAAACAGTTGTTAAGAGTCCCTTGGGGTTGGCTCAGATGATTTTGGAGTAGGCTAATTAAGTTTCGAGATCGTGTGTTCGAGTCACCGCTCTACCACTTGTGTATTCTTTGTTGGCGGGGTGCACAAGTACAAAAAAAATTAGTCTGATAAATCTAAGATATTTCCAATGTTGAAAAAAATAATAATAATAATAATAAATCGTTGTTAATATCCTTAAATTTCATCTAATTTTATTATTTATATATATATATATGCTAACAATTATCTTGAAGTTGCTACGTATTAGTCCACTACACGGATGCCATCAATTATGACTTACAGCTATAAATAGAAAGCTGATTTGATAGCCCAATTCCATGCTCGTGGAAGAAGCTTTGCTGCTTAGGCAACTTTCTTCATGAGTCTCCAGGCTTCCTAGATAATAATGCCTAATGGGCTTCTGTATTGAAACATTAGACGATGACTTGTTTCTTTGAGCTCGAAGAGTAAAGATCCAGCCCGCTACCAGGACCACTGGGCAATTACGGGTAAGTGGAAGGAAACTTCCCCTCATGACAAGACATTTTGCGGCGGCTTTATTACAATTCATGGAATGGAAGCTAAATCTCATACTCGTAACAAGATTATAAGTGCTCAAGGTGTATCTCCATTATAGTAATCAATAGAGAAATTGACAACGATTGGTTGGTTTAGTGGGAGAAAGACATTTAATTGCCATATAAGGACAATGATCTTTTTTATTAAACCATTCGACAAATGCTTAAGAACACAATAGCCTTTCTTATAGTTGGATTTACAAGACTAATAACAACGTAATCAATGATTAAGACTTCTATCAACGGCATTTGAACCAGAGAGTTTTTTTTTTTTTTTTTTGAAAAACCAAAGAGTTGCATCACCACATTTTTTCAAATTTATTCGTATAACAACCAGTCTAAATGCCAACAAGTTCATTAAAAAATAATAATAATAAAACTAGAAGGTAAAGGTAGGTAATTGTATTCGTGGAAAAATGCGGAGGCATGTTCGTTGCGCTTTTATAATTGAAGTGCAGTTTAGCATATCAAAATGACATTGGACTTGTGTTCTTTGTTGGTTATTTTAATTGATTATAAATTTTGATTTTAGATGATTAAATTTTTTAATGCTCTGGATTGTTTTTGTATTTGATTATGACTTTTTTAATGACTAAAAACATTAAAATCTATAATCATCCAAAGAGGAGTTTTTGCTGATCAATTTCTATAATTAAATTTTGTAAAATCTAAACAAGGTCAAGGCCATCCTAGGAGTTAGAGGACACGAAAAATAGAATGAATATAAATGCTTCAAGAACTCATACTTCAATTTTGATTGGAGTTAATTTTTTTTTTAAGCGGGAAATCTTAAATCCAGACTCCCTACTTACAATACCTCTTCTTTACCACCAAATCCAACCCTCTCCAAATTAATCATTATTCAAAGAACTTTTCCCCATTAATATGACATCTTTGTTATTTAACTATATCTTACAACAGGAAAAAAAAAAGAATAATTAATCGTAAAAAGTTAAATAGGTACAACAGTACACCACATACATGCAAGGAAATGAATTCAAAGCTAGGAAAAGCTATCTTTAATCACGATTAAAGAAAACTTTTACTGCCATCACTAGAAAGTTTTTTGGTTTAAGAATTAGAGTACTAGGTAAAAAGTTTCAATAAAAAATTTATTTTTTGCTTCAACTTTATTGGTCTTACTTGTAAACAACTAGATAATAAAAAAAGCATGGGCCATATCAGATACATGCAAAGAAATGAATCCAACAGCAAGAAGGTTTTCAAGTCACAGCTTTGACAAAGTCTTAGCGACGTCATCACCGCCGGCACCGGTTTCATGCGAACGAATCGCAGCCAGCACCTCAGCAAACACCATCCTCCTGTTTTCGCTGTATACTTCTCCGTCCCATTTTCTCGCCACCAACGCCTCCCCTAATTCCACAGCTGCTTTTACTGTCTCCTCTGCACTAACGTGAGCCGAGCTAACAATACCCATCTCCATTCCCATCTCAGCCGTCAACTTAGCCGCTTTCAAAACCACCTCGCGCCAAGCCACCGGTGACTTGGCCTTGGACTTCAACAAAGTCACAAACCATGGCGGGATCACAAGCCCAATATCCAGCTCACTCATGTAAAGAAAACCCCGATCTTTGCGCATTAGGATGTAGTCGTGGGCCATGGCGAAGGCGAAGGCAGCTGCTGAGGCATGGCCTGTGACGGCGGCGATGGTGGGCATGGGGAAGTTGATGAGGTCGGAAATAAGACACCGGAGCTTGGCGTCCATGAGCAGTAACCGGGATCTGTCGGATTGGGCCCATGCAAGATCATAGCCGTTAGAGAAAAATTTTCCTTGGGCTGTGGTGATGAGGGCGGAGGGGCCACTACACTCAGCCCGAGCACGGTGCAGAGCCTCCCTGATGGAGTCTATCAGCGTTGGGTTCAACCGGTGCTCATCATCACCGATGATGGTTAAGATAAAGAGGTTGCCTCTCTTCTCAAGAGTGCACATATTTTTGTACTACTAATTAACAACTAGTACTATTATTGAGAGTTAGCCCTCTATACGTAGATTAATGAGCTAACATTTTGTTTATGGAGACTTTATTATGGTATAGGGAGTATGATCAGCCTAACAAGCAAAGTTTTTATTTATTTTTTTGGCCAAGTCAGGATAGGCAGCTGTAATCAGAAACAAACAAGCAAGAGTATTTTCAAACAAGATGGTCAGCAGTCAGCCTGATTTCGGGGTAGTCAATCCACAAAGTAATACGTAATTCTTATAATGAAGTGATATTTGCACTGAAAAATAAAAGTCCAGGCACTCTACGCTTGTTTATTTTAGTTAAAAATGACAAAAACATCTAAAACCTGTATTCTTTAACAAATTGAATACCAAAAATACCTCCAAGGCATAGTAAATGATAGCTTTTGCATTATTTTTTTGTGAAGACCACTAAACTTTTGATTACAAAGTTCTAAAACTTAATGTAAATAGATTCATGCACACATATAGTTGGTTAAAGTTTTAAAGTTCTAGTAAAGAATAGTAATGAACAATTCCAAAAAATAATACACAACTTCAAAACCCAAACCACAAAGAATAATAGTTTACTTATGAATTACTAAATATTTTATAATCATACAGCATTTATAGAATAATATTTTTAAAAAAATTCATCCGTTATTAATGATACAACAATTTAGGGCTAGTGTAAGACTAGTGAAAATTGAACAAATTGAAAAGGAAATAGGGAGAGCTATCAGCAAATACATAAAAGGGCCAATTTCGTCTCTTATTAAAACATTTTATAGGTTTTCTGTGTCATTTCATTAACTGAAAAATAAGAATGGAGTACCTAAAACCTGTTTAAAGTGCCAATATCATTTGCCCATACATCTTATATTATAATAGTTATAAAAAAGGTAGATAGCATTAACTTGTATGGTGCATTTTTTTTTTGAATTGTAATAGGTACAAGTATCAGAGTTCATTAGCTCATATTAAACCTCGATTTCTTATTTATTCGTATATCCATTTAGGGTTGCAAACGAGTCGAGTGAAGTCGAATCGAATTTTGGACTAATCGAGCCGAGTCTTGGCTTAATTTTATAAAACTCAAATTCGAGTTCGAACTCGACGAACTAGCAATTTAAAACTAGAACTCGAGCTTGAAAAAATAAAAAATAATTATTTTTATTTTTAAAAATAATATTTTTTCTTAATAAATAATAAAATATTATAAATATATATAATTTTACTATTAAAATAAAAAATAAAAAATATATATATACTCGAGCTTGCGCTTAATATTTTGAGTTTGAACTCGAGTTCAAATTAAATTTAGCGCTCGAACTCGATATTAATCGAATGCAAGTCGAATTCAAGTCGAGTTTTGAGGCAAAGGGCTCGATTGCAACCTATTTAATCCATTACGTTATCATTCTTTGCCATCAGGTCAACTCTCAAATTGGTAAACCAACAATTATCCGTAGATGAGCTGTCAGCTTTTAAAAAGATAACAATACAGGCCCAAGTTTGGAAGTTTGGATAATTAGAGAAGGTGTCAATCTTGATGTCTAACATGAAGTGTTATTTTCTACTTCTTTATCTTGTCTTCTTGAATCCGTGGTAACCGTCGCCTCCACACTTGCTTTTTTGGCCTTTTAGTTGCACGAATCAATCACGCCTTACATTATTTTGTAAAGAACTCGTACGCTAGTACAATTTAACAAGGACGACAGCACCTAGAACATAATTGCTCCTGCCCCTAATCCACCCCAACTAGTATTCCTCCTTTCACAATTTCCACCTCATTTTCCAAAAACCAATACTATTAAAATTAAACATGAAAAAGACAAACGAACAAACATGACTCTTTTTTTTTTTTTTTATAGAGTAGGATTATTACAAAGGAATATCTCAGAGTCTTGAAAAAGTCTTGGTTGAGCTCCCATAATCACCCACGGTTTCGTCAAATCCAAGCGTACTCAACACCTCATCCAGCACAGCCGTCCTATTCTGAGCGTACACGTGTCCACTCCACTTCCTTCTCACCAACTCCTCCCCGAGTTTCACGGCAGCGTCAACCGTCTCCTCCGCGCCATCATGCGCCGAGTCGATAATGCCCCTCTCCAGAGCCATCTCAGCTGTCAGCTTAGCCGCTTTCATTATCATCTCCCGCCGTGCCTTTGGCGAGCCAACTTTGCTCTTTATCAAAGCCGCAAACCAGAGAGGAACCTTGTATCCGATATCCAGCTCGCTCACGTAGAGAAACCCTCGATCCTTTCGCATTAGATGGTAGTCGTGACACAGCGCCAAGACGAAGCCGGCTGCGGAGGCGTGGCCGGTGATAGCGGCGATGGTGGGCATGGGCAGAGTGATTAGTTCGGAAACGAGAGAACGAAGCTTGGAGGACATGAGCTGTGCGCCGCCGACATTGCTTGCGGCCCACTTAAGGTCGTAGCCGTTGGAGAAATACTTACCTTGGGCCGTGGTTATCAGGGCCGAGGGGCCAGTAGATTTGGCTTTGACTTGCTGGAGCGCGGCCCGGATGGAGTCGATGAGCGTCGGGTTTAACCGGTGGTCATCGTTGCCGGTTAGGGTCAGTATAAAGACGCTGCCTCGCTTCTCCAGGGAGCACATATCTCTTGGATTTGTTTTCAGATGTTACCCTGAGCTCACAAGTCACTGCAATGATTCTATTTCTTTAGTTCCCAACCTTTTTAAGGGAAGATATTTTTCTAGGTTGTGTCTATTCTCCGGACATATAGGTACCGTAGCAATGGTGCCGAATTTATTGGGTACCATTCATTATTAATTGTTTCCCTAGAACTGTTGTTGTATCTTTGAATTAAATTAAATTTATTGTTTCTTGAATTTGTCAAAAAAAAAAAAACCGAATCTATCGGGTAATCAGAAGGTGGAAATTTACCACATTTTCACATTAACAATTTTTAAAAAGATGAAATTCAATGTACTAAACAGGCAAATATCATCCATATAAGCCGTCTGGAATGCATATACCTTGCACGTTAAACAGTGTGTCAAATTGATAGAACAGCGTTCATTTTCGCAGTTAGATATAAAGGCCAAACAGGATTCCAGTAAAATTTCCCTACAATCTTTTCGTTTCAAATTTGACACTTGGAAACAGTAAATTCTCACTCAATTTAGTGATGATTTTGGATGTAAGCAGTAATAAATCAATGTAAACAAAAGACAAGAACGGCAGCTACACAACTCATTGGACATAATTGTTACCAAATAAATTTACCTATTGTCGGATGGGCTGTGAAATAATGGCAATTGTTACTTGTTCATGAAGGCTGTCAACTAGCAGCGAAAAATAGTACCTTCAAGGAATTGCACGGCAGTGGCCAAATAATCAGAATTGCCAATGGCTGCTTGACTTGTATGAAAAGAAAGCTCACCTACAAACTAGCATCATTCCTTAGAGAGTCATATTCCAGCTTCCTTCTCATGGCAAGACCGACTCAGATGGCTGTAATGTACTGCAGGAACAGGCCTGATTCAAGGAGCACTGGTTCCGCGGAGTTGTCAATTATAGGTTCATGTTCTCCTCCTGAAAAGGATCTCTGCAGTTTACTCTGCAAATCAATATCTCCAAGTTAAAGGAGCATAGAGGATTCTCATCTGTTTTTTAATAGGCAATGGCCTCATCCAAGTTTCTCCAAGTTTTGGAAGCAATTCTGTAGAGAGAACACGATACCGTTTGCAAAACTATCTGCAAAAGATACTTTGACTTCAGTTCAGTCATTAGTTGAAAAATTAGGAAAGAAAGTCAGGCCTGTCAGCATTTCTGATTTGAAAATGACCAGCTGAGGATTAACAAAGACTGGCAGATAAAAGGACAATCATGTAAGGTAAATGTTCATGAGATGCATGCTTATTGCTGAGAAACCTTACAGATTCACTTCTGGCGGGAATAATACAGGGACCCAAAGTAGAACCGTGAAACATTCAAAAATGGAAAAAAAGTCAGAGTCTAGATTCACAACTCACTTTAAATTCAGTGACAGTCATAATAATCCAATGAATCTTTCCTGCTCAAACAACCAAAAACAGAAAATCACTTGAGCATTGATAATTTTCTACATTTCCATGTTGACATAATAGCTTAAGATTAATTACTAGAGCTTCACAGAGCAGTGATTAACTAATACTAAAAAAGATTTGGGTGTTGGGGAGAGAGAGGGGGGGGGGGGAGGGCAGTCAAGGGGGAAAAGAAAGATTTTGCCAGAAATCAGGAACTAGTTACAACATTCCCCACAGTTATCATAGCCACATCACTTAGTCTTGAAAACTATCAACATTGCATTCAGCAAATAGCTTTTTTGATACTCTCTCTCATGTTGGAATGACTTTCACATATATTTTGTCTAAGACTTCATTCAGAATAAAAAGGAAAAATTAATTTAAAATTAAGCAAACTGAATCCAACAATAAAGGCTGGTACTAAAATTGTGGATGAAACCAAAGGAAGAAGACTAGGGTCCATAATAAACAGCTAAAATCTGCAAAACCCAACATTGTAGCACTCTCAAGCTTATCATTTAATGCATCCCTGTCTAAGCAATAATCACCCGACACTATTGTCAGTGTCCTTAATATGCTCTTGTTCAGCACTTGACTAATTAAAAAAATTGCAAATTGAGAATATAAATACCTATAACTCTGATCCTAAATAATATACTTCGTACAATATGGCCAAGAATGTTCCTTCAGAAAAGAAACCACTATAAGTTCTTACCCTGGATCTTGGATGAACCCGAAAATCAATCCAAATGGGAAACTTTCAGCACCAAGTAATGACATCCAGTCGTTACCAATAATCTCCACAAGAACAAAATCCATCTTTGAAGTGATGAAAACGGTTTGAATCTCTCACAATAATCTCCCTCTCAGTGATCTTAGATGTAAATTTAGTCATATTGTGGCAGTCTCCACAAACACGCAAGTTCTTAAAAATTCGAATAGTGCTTTTTGGAGGTGAATTTAAGATTCCATAAGCAATAGCCAATCTCTCACTGTGACTTGTGAGAATGTTTTCCTTCTCATCATCCTCAACATCCTGCAACACAAAGCTGTAGTCTGGAGCATAACCAAGGTCTTTTGCTTTGGCAGTTAAAATGGCCAGTTCCATGTACATCTCTTCAGACTGTGGATGTCCAGTATAAAATACCTCAATCATATTATTTAACTCAATCGAGGTCCACCCAGGTGTCTTCCTCAATCCCTTGTCTCTAGCCCATGATCTTACTACATCAACCCCTTCCCATCTCCCAACATTTGCATATATATTTGACAATAAGACATAGTACCCAACATTATCTGAATCAACTTCAAACAAGTGGTGCGAAGCCACTTTACCCAACTCAATATTTCCATGGATTCTACAAGCATTAAGAAGAGCACCCCATACTGAAGCATCAGGAGGTACAGGCATACGTTTAATAAAATTGTATGCCTTTTCCAGATGTCCGGCCCTACCATACAAGTCCACCATGCACCCATAGTGCTTCATACCAGGTTTAATTTCATATTCTTGCTGCATCAGGTGAAAATATGATTTACCTTGGTCAACCAGGCCAGAATGGCTGCAAGCTGCCAATATGGACAAAAAGGTTATGTGATCTGGCTGTACCCCCTCATCCAGCATATCTCTGAATAGTTGTAGAGATGTCCCACCACATCCATGAATTCCATGGCAAGCTATAATTGCATTCCAATGGACAGAACTAGTCCTGGGAACCTCATAGAATAAAAGCAATGCCTCATCCAGTCTCCCACACTTTCCATACAAATCAACCAGGCATGTGCCCACAAAGATATCCCAATGTAGACCTCTTTTGAAAACCTGGCCATGAGCTTTAGTCCCTTCTCGCAAGGCTCCAAGATGAGCATAAGCAGGTAAAACACTAACCCAAGTACCCTCATCAGGTGTTATGTTTTTGCAAGGCATCATGTGGAATATTTCAATGGCCTCGCTTGCAAGACCATTTTGACCATAACCTGCGATCATTGTGTTAAACGAAACCACATCTTTAACAAACATTTCATCGAAAACCATGCGCGCAGAGTCCATAATGCCCAGTTTAGCATACATGTCAACAATTGTATTTCCAAGTACAACATCTTCATTAATCCAACATCTCCGTAGAATATATCCATGGATGGATTTTGCAGAAACATAATCTCTAGTCTGCGCAATGCTGGAAGCTATGCTTACCATTGTCAATAAATCTGGCTGAAGTTGATTGAGTTGCATCTGATGAAAGAAGTAGATTGCACAACCTGGGAGATCATTTTGCTCATATGCAGCAATCACTGAGTTCCATGAAACTATATCTCTGAGCACCATCTGATCAAAAACCTTCTGGGCACTTTCTAATTCACCAAATTTAGCGTACATGTTAATCAGGGCATTGGACACATAAACATCAACTTCCAAGCGATGCTTTATGGCATACAAATGAACCAGCATGCCTCGTAAACTATCATTCATTTGTGCACAAACAGGAAGAATGCTAGAAACAGTCACTGAATCCATCTTAATTCCTTCCAATCTCATTTGATCCAAGATTGCCAACGCCTCCGCTGCATTCCCATTCTGACAGAACCCAGATATCACAGAATTCCAGCAGCCCATATCTCGAGATGGCATGTCCTTGAAGATCCTATTGGCAACAATAAACTGCCCAAAGCGGCAATACATGTGGACCAGTGCAGAAGCAACAAAAACATCCCATTCAAAGCCCAATTTGAAAACCCAACCATGTAGTCTCATCCCATCAATTAATCTACCACAAGCTTTCAGAACCGGAGGAAAAGTATAGAAATCAGGCCGAACATCAGACATTGACAACATTTTGTAAACACAATTAACGGCTTCAGTAAATTGGCCATTACGAACATAAGCTGACAACATCGAGTTCCAGCTATAGGTGTCTTTTGTTTGTATCTGATTAAAAGTACTGCAAGATAATGAAACATCACCCAGATGGGCATAAAGATTGACAAGTCTAGTTGTGTGGGACAGTCTCTGCGCCCTCCCTGAGACAATAAGGAGGGCATGAAGCCTCTTAACGATATCAGTTTTGGTGCATGAGCTGAATAAAAGCTCAAAATCAATCTCATTCTTCTCATCCTCAATGTCATTTGGTGGAGTCTGAAGGCAGATTGCATTCGTGGAATACCAATGATAGTTGGATCGAACATATGGAAGAGATGTTGAAAAATGCCTACCTTTCCAGGCTGGCAACAATCTGAACATGCCCTAGAGCCACAGCAATATCACAAGGCAAATACTAAATACATACAGTTTATGTGCTGGAATTGGGACAAGGACACAAAGCAATACCGGTAACCAAGTTATTTTAGAAAGACTGAGTACCAAGAGTTATTACAACATTCTCTGCAGGTCTGCTGTTATAGCCTTTTTCTTTTGAATAGGTTTTCAAATTCCATCAGAAACAGGTGACCAGAATCAAGTCTTGTCAACTACTATGAACCTTTCAGATAATTAATTTGCACGGTTAGTCATGACTACACCTTTTTTGCTGAGACGGAATACTTAATTGTGGAGTATTTTCTTCGCTTTGCTGCTTTCTTCCGTCGAATTCTTTCTGAAACATAAAATTTAACTCAACCCTATATCAATAAGAGCTTTATAAAGAAACAAACTTCCTTAACGCTTGACTAAAACCTGCCAATAGTATTGTACTCAGCCGAAGTTACTAAGATATATTTCGTTTTTCTCTGCATGAATGGTGAGAAATTTTTGCAGTGGAGAAGAAATTTAAAAAGATTTATTAAGAACAAAGGTAAATAATCTGACCTCCTAAGACTAGCTTTTCTGCGTTTAATTCCGCTCCAAGTGCTACCAGAAAGCAGGAGTGGAATGAGACCATCGATTGTATGATGTAGGAAACCTCAGAGGAGGAGGAGGACGAGGGGAGTGAACTGATGTTGTACCTTCAAACTTGGGAAATTTGAGGGCAATGCGTGCAACGCTGCCGTTAAACAGCATTTTCAATTTTCTCTCTTTTTTTCCCTCTTTCTTTTTTATCCTTCTTCTTTTTTCTTAAGTAACTTTCTTCGGTATTTTTAAGGCAAGGAAAGGAAAGGAATTCCTTGTTTTTCCTCCTTCTTTTTTCTTAAGTAACTATCTTCATTATTTTTCTCAATCAACGAATCTTCTGTCTCACATTCCGTGCCACTCTTTGTTTCATTTTTTATTATATTACTATTTCTTCTTCATAAACATCATATTTTAGTTATTCTTTAATTAAAATCCAATAACTATTAACTGAGTAATACACAAAATTTAACAAACTCACAAAATCAAAATGCATAAAAAATGATATTTTTATGAATTTTTTGTTGTATTTTTAAATTTTCTATTATATATTAAAATTTTAAATTATTGTATTTATTTTTCTCAAAAAATAAAATTCATAAAAAAATGAGATTTTTATGAATTTTTTGCTGTATTTTTAAATTTTCTATTATATATTATTTTTTTAAAGTTATTGTATTTATGTTTTACTAAGTTAATAGTCATTGAATCTTAAAAAAACTAAAAAAGAACTAAAATATAATATTTATGAAAGAGAAAAAATAATATAATAAAAAATGAGACAGAGAATGACACAAAGTGTAAAACAGGAGATCCATTGCAGTGGGAAAAGGACCTTCATTTTTCCTTTCTTTGAAGAGGAAAAGGAACGTATAGAAAGGGTAGGAAGGGGTCTATATTATTTGTTTGACATTTAATTGTCATCCAAAAATGGGTGAAAAAAAAAGAGTTAAATTAAATGAAATAATTTAAAATTTTTAAATATATGTTATTCCATTTCTTTTCTATTAATTAAGACTTGAACTTTTCCTTTCCTGAATCTAAATAAAACACTGGTGTCTGTTTATTTATTTTTCTTTTCATACTTAGTCCAAACAAAATTAAAGGGAACCTGCCTTTTTTTCTTTTTAACTATCCTTTCCTTCCCACTCATGTCATTTCCCTTCAATCACCCAATCCAAAGGCTCAACCTCTTCCCCCTAAACCCCTCAAAAATAAAATAGAGCACAAGGAAGCCGGAAAATGGCAATTTGTTACGCGTCCAGCCCACTGGTGGCAATGACAAGGAAATTGATTTATTTTTGGCCCACAGACGGCTTGACAAGTATCTTCTGTAAAATATGCGTAGGTCGAGATGTTACTCGCATTTCAAAAACTTCCTTGTCCTTCAAAGAAAAAAACTTCCTTGGGCCAATTAAAATAATTAAGACTCGACCAAGTCGTTACTCCATATTCCCGACTGTGAAATCCTCCTATTTCCCTCTTAGCTCTTTTCCGTGTTAGAGAATCTCCCTTGTTTAAGATCCAATCAATTGCTTACTTAAAACTGCTTAAAAAAACTCGTCCACTCTTATTAGTTTGGTCACACTCTAGTCTTTCTCCCTCATGGCTCATGAGAAGCACTCACCTGGATTCATCCCAAGAAAAAGAGGCTTAAAACAAAAAAGGAAAGAGAGAAAGAAAATAGGACTGCCTATCTCCACGAGTAAAAATGAAAGTTGTTTTCTGACGTGCACGGCTGGCTGAGCCTCGGTAAAACCATTGCTGACCTGGCCGGAGCTTTTATATGTTCTTCCGGGTACAACAGATTTCTGAAATGAGGCCACCATGCGAGACTACTTATGCCTGTTCAAACTTTAGGGCCAATTCGTCTTCACAGTTGTGTGACAGGCCGAACTTGGCCAATTTCTCAGCACCTTTAGTCCCTCTCTGAGTTTACATGTTGATAATTGCAATTCCAGACTTCAAGATCTTGCAGGTACACCTCTGTAGTTAGATATGCAGGCAAAATTGAACACCATTTCTGCTGGGACTTCTTTGCATCATACGTCCATGGGAAGTTTTGAGGTCACCATTAGATGCCCCGAGTGGTGACTAAGCAACCAGGCGATTGCCCTCTCATCCTCTAATTCATTTTTCCTAAGCAACATTTAAAACAATGTCGAACCTATTGCAGGCTGATACACACAGAATTTACTCCTACATCAGTATATGCCCACTTTCATCATCGTTTCTTTTCTCCTTGAATACTTCCTACGAGGGGGCTCAAAGCCATGACACCTTATTATCATTCTCCTCTTTACTCTTTTTTTTTTTTTGGGTCTTGGCAAGTAATTCCACTCTTCATTTTACAACGCTCACAAATTATATCAAGTAATTGAGCATACTAAAAAGAACCAAATAAAGCCAACGGTAAATTTTTTGCTAAGCTACACGAAGGATCGAAGGATTACAAGAAGAACATGAGCAGAAGGTGAGAAGCTTGATGTATTTCATTTGTTGAAACCTTTGTTGCCGAGCCATACAGTTTGCAACAGCAAGCCTTCTCAACTCAAGTGGAGCAGAAATGCTCTTATATTGCCTTCAGAAACCTGATGCCTTATGAATACATCACCCTGAGACAAAGTGCTAGTTCTCAATGAGTGAGGTATTAATTGAAAATTCACCAACCCATCAGAGTTCCTTTAACCCTCTCAACAATCTCACTTCGAGCTTGCTGGCTAGCTAATGGGAATCCTCGGCTTTCTTCCAAGAGAAATCTATACACTTCCCACTGGCGATCTGATGTTGAATGCCTATCAATCTCAGCCTGCAAATGAATCAAAAGGATAAGCAATTTGAATAGGTATAATTTAAGGACTTCTCGCTCTTCTCTAAATGCACAAAAGTAAGTTCATTCACATAGAGAGAGAGAGGCTGGGGGAAGGCCAGTGAGCTGGAAGAGCAAAAGAAACCAAGATCGTGTAATTGTTTAAAGTATGTGTTTTCATACCGAAAATATACAGATCCCAAGTGTTTTTAGGGCAAATGTAACATCATAAAAAACACGTGGCCTTCCCTTTCCAGATAACTCAACAGGATTAGCAACCAAGAGTTCTGTATCAGGGCCACGGCTAGTAATGGTGACTCTCAGCGGATGAAGCATCTCTTCCTTTAGGTGAGAACATAAAGCAACTTGACTTTCATCACCTACAATCTTTTTCCCATCTCTTTTCTGGATAAACAGGTCCATGTTCCGATATCCTTTAGCAGTAGGAGAAATTCTTCCATAAGCAATCTAGAAGAAAACAGCAAAAATTGGCATTGCAACATTTCCCACAAAGTTACAAAGAAAATCAAGGAATGCCAATTTAGAAGAAATCTAGAAGAAATATGGAGGAATTCTTCCATAAGCAATCTAGAAGAAAACAGCAAAAATTGGCATTGCAACATTTCCCACACAGTATTTCAGTCCATGTCAACTCAAGTGAGAAGCTCTAGATTCAAATGATTGCTTGTAAATATGGAGGACCTAACATCAAGCCTGACCCCCTTCTCCAAGAAAGATCCTTTAAACAATTGTCCAATACTAAACTATATAAACTGGCCTATCCTGGATAATGCACAGAAAACTCAATACAGTGCAGAAGCAACTAACATTAAATTCTTGATAATCCAGTCAATAAATTTACGACTCAAGGTCCTTAAAGTACAAGCACTTCCAGAGGGAAAAAAAGGGTGCTGTTTTTCCAAATTTAGTACAAGATAACAGTTCCAGTTAGTTATAAACAATACACCCAAAGAAGTTTTGCAATGGCATACCTGAATATCTAGATCCTTGAACGTCCTCAAAATGTCATAGATGAGGCCCTTTTGATCAGTGCATTGTATTTGGAGCAATGTATGGGCTGGGCTCAACACATTATCCACGGTGATCGTAGCTTTGTTAACCCTTGCCACTTTAGAAGTGACAACCTGTGAACAAGCATCTTTGTGGGACAACTTGCAACTGAATAAGTCTTCAGCAACTTCCGATGACAAAGAGGAGAAGTCCTGCTGACCAACATATTCAGGCCCAGCTAGCTCAAGTTCACAGCTGATACAATAGTCGCCTAAAACAAGGCCAAGATGTTTGCAAGTTTTGTTCCGTCTTTCTTGAGTGTGTAACAAGTCCCTGATGTCATAGATGATAAAGTAAGACAAAGGATAGATGATGCAGGAGACCCAAAAATTGTCAATTGTGTATCCTTCAAAGTGGCCAACAGTGACTAACGATCTTATGACACAAAAACTGAGCAACATTAGGCAGCATCATAAGGGAGTTGTTCACTAGTCCCAACACAATCAAAATTTTTAGGAGAAGTCTGGGGAGGGGTTCAAGAAAGTTCCAGATTAACTATCGCAACGCAATGAGAAACAACAAAATCATCAAGCACTACACAAAATGACAAGAAATAGGTGATTGAAAGGTCAAGAACAACATCATGAGTCACATCAATAGTTCACAATAAAAATAAATATCCATAGTTCCAATACTAGAGAAAGTAAGAAAAAGTACAAGATGATGACAGATGCATCAAAAAAGCTTCTTTGCAATTATTAAAGAGTCAGGCTTATGACTCACATGCCATCCGTGATGAAGAAAAGGTCTAACACTTTGCCATCTGGAGTTGTCATCACTTTGACTTTTTGAATGCTTAGTTCGAGCTCACAAAGGAGCTTTGTTACATCTGAAGAAAAAACCCACAGAATCTTGTCAAAAAATAAAAAATACACAGGAAAAATGGAAAGAAGGAAGTGGGGTCCTAACTTTACCATGTAAGAGTCCTTTCCTATCCAAGCAAAAAACCTTCAGCAAGTAGACTTGGGGGGGAGGGGAACAACTAGATTGTTGATTGAAGTAGGACAAAATCAAACATGATGGGCAAGCAGAGAGAAGCCGGCTTTTCAAGCTCTCCCAATCAATCTTCAAAGAGCTTGGACGTGGAACAACCCACAACACGATGTAACACCATTTTCCATCAGTAGAGAAATCTGTAATAGAAACACAAAAACATAGTGTTATATGCAACATCTTGTGTACACGGAAAAGGCATATAACTCCAACCTTTTATCAACGTGTTCAAGAATTAGAGAAACTGCATAAATTAACATAGCACAAAAATTGCGAATGATTCTGTTAATTGAAGAGACATACGATTAAAAAAAAAAAAGACAAACACCATGTGGCTCCTTCAAGAAACTGTTATTCATATGTAAAATCATCTGGAGCCTCTACCATCAAATAATAAATGCCTTCAGAAGGACGTAACGATTAGCCCAAAAACTTCTCTGTTTCCTTAACCATTCCTAGTTTACTGACTATGAGAAACAACAAAAAGGATTCACAATGGAGCATCAACCTGAGGAGCAGCTTAACTATCTACCAACAAAATAACAAGAAAAGAAAATTCTCTGATCATGAGAACAAGGTATAATACTCAAACCAAAAGATATGCTTGTCTGCAAATCTCTATGCCCATGCCCTGTTTATCATCTATCGTTAATGTTTTATATGGAATCTGGAAACCAACCATTTGGTTTGGAAAGAAGCTAACAGCACTATATGCACATGCATGTCAGCTCCATCATCAACAATTCTGACAAACTATTGCAAGTTGTCAAGCTCAACACACATGAATAAAATCAGAAATCCATTCTGTGCAAAGAGATTTGTAAACCACAACTGCCAAGATTGGAATTGCATGAAGAATGCAATCTAAAATTGAAAATGGTTAGTATAATCACAAACCTCCACGGGTGACATAGAGTCCAAATTCGAGAATAATGCGAGTGAGATCACACCCGAGTCCGGCCTTATCAGGGCAGTTCACCTTGACAACGCTCGGTTCACCGGAATTCTTCCCATGCTCGATCAAGACGATATCGTCCCAAGAAGGAATCCCCATTATTATCTTCCTGGACCCGTACAACTAATAATAAAGGGCTAGGAAATCTCGCTCTTATCAATTAATCTACAGTCATAATTGTTGTACTTGCTGCAGTACTAGAAAGGTCGAATTTAAGGAAAAGAACAACTCTGGTTGAAAATTGAAATCTCTTGTATTTATTTCTATGAGAAAATAAGAATCAGAAAAAAGGAGGAAGTTAGTTTTGTTTGTTTCCAGAAAGGCCGGAAAGAGAAGCTGTGCTGTGTTTTATACTTTATTAAGAGAGCCGCCGCGGGGGGGGGGGGGGGTGTGGGAGCTAGTTAATGTTGGAGGGTGTGTCGAGCAGGGCTGGCGGGATGTGGCGTGGGGTCACAGGCCATGCCTGATCCACGTAAGCTTTGGTCATTCACCAGCCAAATTACCACGTGTTTTTCGTAATTCTCTGATTTTCTTTTTTTTTTCTCGGGTTTGTCGGGTCCCTTTTAGGAATCCTGAAAAATCCCAAGGATCCAAGGATGGCGACAATTGAACCAATCAAATGTCGGAGTGTTGGAAAGAGAGAGAGTTGATGTGATTTATAAAACGACAGCATTGTTGTCACTGTTCATGTGATGCCTAGCCATCTCAATTCTCAAGCCCTTTTTTTTTTCCCTTATAAAAAAAATACATCTTCCTGGCTTTGCTCGTCATAATTAAACTTTTCGTCCTCTAAAAATGATTTTAAAATTTAAGCTTCTTTTCATTTTTGTCTCTAATAGATGGATATTGAACAGGCGTTAAAATATATTCAACTACAATATAAATAATTAATGAAAATAAACCATAATATTAAGTTATATTAATGAAAATATTGAAAGTATATAATTAATGAGGAAATGTAAATAAATAAAAAATGTAAATAATATTAAATAATAAAAGTATATAAATGAAATGAAAAGTAATAATTATAATATATATACATGATATGTCATTATTATCTACCTTGTATATCTACCTATTATATAAGAAAAAAGCCAAGTTACTATAGCACCCCATCTTTTTGACACACGTATTGCACATATTTTTGACAAGTGGATTCTTGGTCATTTTAGCTAAACTTTTCCTTCCCTTTTTTGATTCAATTGGGCCAAAATAATTAAAATATTTTTTCTCTGAGCCAAGTTACTATAGCACCCTATCTTTTTGACACATGTATTGCACATATTTTTGACAAGTGGATTCTTGGTCAATTTAGCTAAACTTTTCCTTCCCTTTTTTGATTCAATTGGGCCAAAATAATTAAAATATTTTTTTTCCTTCACAAAATCAAGTGTGTCGCTTCTTTTTCTTCTTGCGGCAAGTGCTGTTATTTTTTATTTTTTAAAACTAATCTAACTAAAATTGTTGCCATGTTCTTTTTTTTTTCGTTGAGATGATTAGCTACTTAATAAAGAGAATTTTTATTATTTTTTTTATCCCATTTTACATGTTCTTTTCTTCCTTTTTTTTCTTCATGTCTAATCTCTCATATTTGCTCTATTCTTCGATCATAATGTTATAGTCAACTGACATTTGTTTGTTAAATTTATAGGATAATGCTATTATTTGGTATTTTTCATGGATAAAAGGTGTAATATTAAAATATGTAAAAAGATCTTAGAATTCATTTTATACCAATGATCATTTTCTATGAAGAATAGAACAATAATTCTTTCTTTTCTTTTCTCCTCCCACGATTTGATTTCTTACTTCACATTTTTTTTCTTTTTCTTTGTTTTTTGGTTGCATTTTGTAATTATCTACAATTTTGTTTATTTTTTAAAGAGAAAAGATATATCATGTGATGCTTCCACCAAGATAAATCTAGTTAGGCATTCTTCTACCTCTATGTTTTATAAGATTTTGTATATATTTAAATTAACGTTAATTTTTGTTTGTTTTTTTATTATTCAGGTTCTATAGTATCAATTGGGTTGGCATATAAAAATTGTAGTTGGTGGTAGAAGTCACAATTAAAAATTGTTAGAAAATTCAATTTTGATTAGGAAGATGTTTTTGCAATAAAAAAAATGGTTCAATTCTAATTTGTATATGTAGATCTGGAAACGTAGCAATTCATATTTTTTATCTAACCTTGCTATTTATATTCTGGAGCTGTAGGATAATGTTGTCACCTTTAAACGGGATTTAAATAAATAAAGAAAGAAAAATGTGAAACTTTAGAGTAAGTTATATTGATGTTGAAGATTGTGACATGTCTTAGTGGCTTTCTAAACTTTTTCTCATTATTAAAATACTGGAAGCATTATGACTGCTTTTGATTTAGTTACAACTAAGACTATGCTGTTAATTAATACAGCAATGCACTTGTAGTGTATTGATTTTCTCTCTTTTTTGGGTATTATCATAATAATAGTTCAAAAATCTTTATTCAGATCACAATCAATAGGGGTATTAACTTCATAGATGGAATTTCTCTTCACAACAAATTTTGAGGGAAATTTTATTTATACTCCATATTTTATTAATTGTATTCCTACAATAAATAAAAACTATATGATAAAAATAATAGTGAAAATGTGATTAATAAAAAATGAGAGTTCAAATAACATTTGTTAATTTTAATTGTTTTGAGGCCCAATTTTCTCCTATATTTCTATTGATTTATCATGTGCCAAAATAATTTGATATTATGTGTTTGACTAAATTTCTAGGGGGCCCAAGCTGTGATTTGCACAGTTCAAGTACCTCTAGTAAGAAAAAATGGAGGTTTAGTTCTTTGCCTCCCTTGTTGCCACTTGGCTTCCTAATAATTTGACAAGTTGCATAACTCTAATATTTTTCTTGCACGTGGTTTTTCTTGCCTCTTGCATATCGCTTTTTTTTTTCTGCTCTTTTTTCATGCCAAACCGAGCAAGTCTGGCTCCTTTATTCTCCTTTTGAGCCCAATGAATTTTTTTAACCTTAATTATTTGATTAAGTGAGTGTACTGTCTAATTCATCACCATTGGATTAGTTTTAATATACTAATACTACATTACAACCCTTGGATCAATTTTCATTCTGTTCTAATTGTCTACATATTATATAAGAAGACATGAGAATTTAATGTAGCACTCCCATTTCTTGACACATGACATAACTCTCATTCGAGATATCTATGATTTTTCTCCCATTTTTTATCTCCCTACTTCTATCTTGATGGATCAAGACAAAAGATGTACCATACAGGATAAAACAAAAGATTTTAATTGCAAGTCATTTTGCATAACTACAAGAACTTGTATTGTTTTTATATATTGTCTAATTTATGACTATAGAATCAAGCTTTATAGATTAATGAAAAACTTTTAATCCTTGGATATTGATTAATTATGTTTGATTAGTAGCTAACCAACTATTACATTTAAACAGCTCCTTTATGTAATCAATTAAAGTCTCTTTTTCTATTTCTTTATAAATTGTTTCTAAAAGTTACACAGAAAAATCAGATTTCTTCCTTCCCAATTGTATTCAACTGTGCACCTGTTTCATTGATTGCCTTCATTAACTTCAAGATCAAGTTAAGGATTTAATAGATGCTGTGTTTATTGTCTCCTTGATTCAGAAGAGCTAACTTCATAGATGGAATTTCTTCTGACAGCCGAAATACCTCTAGTAATTATAATATAAAACAATAAAAGAGGGGAGCACTTGATGGTTGTTGCCTGTTGGGCAGCCTGCACCGTAAATGTGTAAAACATCAGCATCCAACAGCGAATGATTGGAGCAGAAGTGCAGAACACTCTCCGATTGCTGACTGCCCCACATTAATTATCACAGCAACAAAACAAATATTAGACGGCGAAGCTATTGGCGTAGACAAAATAAAAAATTCAGAATTATCATGTCAAGTTGTATTTTCTTTGGCGGATATCATACCATTGAAGATAAACTAAAACTCTGATTTATGGTTTATTTTTAATTTAATCTTGTCGCAGATAAGAACTGATATTTCTTTGGGACTTTGGATTAAAGTACAAAAGAATAAAGTCATGCATGCACCTCAAAATATATATATGAAAATGTTGGATTTCTGTGAATTACAATTGAGTGCTAATATTTAGTTCAATATCTTTCAAGAAACAGCTGAGTTTGTTTAGATAGGAGTTTATTTGGATAATTTATTTGAGATAATCACTGTAACACTTTTTATGATGTGATGTATGTGAAATGAAAAAGTGATTGGAAAGATAAGAAGGTGGTTGGAATTTGTGAAACAAATTATTTTATTTGAAATCAGATCAATCCAAACACACGGAATAGTGTCCAATACACACTATCAAAAGAATTTTTGGTTTATGCCCCGCAAAACAAGCGAACCACTAGTTTGCTTTGATGTGATATACAAAACTTGCTCAAGTTGAAAATAGTTCATCAGCAAGCTTACTTGGACGATCAAAACAAGCGCACTAATAAAATTGATCAAGCTGAGCCAATGAACCCTTTGTACTGGTAAAACCTTTTCATAAAGTCAAAGACCTGATCAGTTCTTTTGCATAAGCAGCCATTATAAAGCAAATGGATCCAGTTCCCCATTGAGAAGCCAGCCATGGCTCCTCATACCCAACACAAGTCAATATTGATCCCCAGCAGAACGAAGCCTAGCATTAGAAGGAAGCCATAATCACCATGAGACTAAGAAGCCAGAGGCAAAGTACTTAGGGATGCTTGGTTTAGGGAACAATATAAGATACACTTCAACAAAGAGTAGAGGGAAAAATATTTCTAGCATCAACAGTAAGCTACTCATTCCATTGTCAGTGGAAAGGGCAATCTCCTAGGCGATTAACAAATATTTCATTTCATAAATTACTTTGCCTAAAATGCAATATATGTACCACGCTAACACTGAGAGAGTAATGAATGCTTCGGGACCTTTGGCAATAAAGAACACTTGCCAACATATGTTAGAGAAAAGAAATTCTAGTTTCTTTTTTTTTTTTTTGGTGTGTGGATATTATGAAATAAAACGCAAAGCAAAAAGAAAAAGAACTAAAAGAGTAAATGTATACAAAGTAAAGATATTTCTTTTTCAGGAGAATGGTAGCTGGATCATCGTCATCTAGGCTATTGATGGATCACATTTGGAAGTTCAGTAGAATTATGCCAGAACGGCCAAAAAACAATATAAGGCCTTTGAGGTAACTACCTTCACATTTGCAATATGAGACTTTTATCTCGCTTTATCAAGAAGAATGGCAATAGACTCTCCAGCAAGCGGATTATGATGTCAGACCTACGCATGTCAAACACCAGTACCAGCAATGCAGCATGCACATCAAAACAGAGAAAAGTCTCCACATATTTTTCAATCAACTGTTCCAAATTCATTCAGTAGCTCTTATGTTTCCTCACCGAATGAATGAGCTACTTCCAACCTCTTCAAAATGTTTTCATCCAACTCCTCTGGATCATTGGAAAGGACTTCATCAATTACCTGCGCTGGAACCAAAACTTTCACACTTCAATAGCGCTCTTATTTTGATTTATATTTTCCTTTTCTTTACTTCCCTGCTTTACTGTTTCGCCTCCATTACCATCTTCTATTTGGTTCTCAATCCTGGAAAAGACAGGTTTCGGCTGTGCCATAACCTGTCCAGCCTTAAGCCCACCCCACTTGGCATCACTCTGCAAGATGCTAGAACAAGTCATGTGCAGCAAGGATGCAGCAAAATTTTGTGATGTATGTGCACATGTGGATATGGCAGTGCATATCTTGGTGAGTGTGCATTTGAAATAGAGAGAGAGAAAGAGACCCAGGTGATGGTGTCGAATTGGTCCTCTGTGTAGCCCAGCTGGTTGTATATTCTCAAACATAAGCTTGGTGTAACAGGGGACAAAACTATGGCTATGATCCTCATTGCTTCCAGCACAATTACAAGTTCCTATCCACAACTTAGAAACAAACACTTAGCACCAATAACAATGACAGCAAAATCAAGAAATTATTGTGCACACTTGCAAGGTCCATCATAACTGCAAGAGAACTATCTTTAAAAGCAAAAAAACAAAACCTTAGCTCAAATAACCATCAAATTGAAATCACCAGAAATCATAAATGTCCATGTAGTCCCTATGCTACTGTACTCTTTAAAGCAACAAATGGGTAACCCCATAGAATGACACAAAGAACAGGTAGACCTAAGGTGCACAATGAAGGCAATTTTTAATGCCAGTGAAGTGATTTTTTGGTGAATTTCGGGAGTCGAACCAAAAGGAACTTACTTGCACTTCTACCGCACATATAAAAACTGGACATGCAGTGTAGACCCGATGTTACGATGCATTGCATAACATATAAACATGAGTTATTTCATAATGATGTCTGTTAAAAACTATAACAAATTCCATACAAGCTATTCCTCATGAAAGCAAATGGCCAAGGAAAGGAACCTTCGCTGCAGTTTCAGAAGCAGCACCTCCTTGCTTAAAAAGAGACCAAGGCGCCTGTTGATTCATGTACAAGTTCCCAGCATTACCAATCTCCAGCACAGCTTCGCAAGCTGACGAGAGAGCAAGGGTTTCATAATGAGTTTTCGCCTTCGTGACCTAGGAACAAAATCAAGCAAACAACACTGTGAATAAATTCATAATAAAGCAAAAGTGCAGAGAGAGATAGAGAGAGAGAGAGAGACAACACATGAGGAATCTCTCAGTCCAGGAGAAGAGTCCAGGGAAAATTGAGGATAGCTAGGACAAGGAAGAGAGGGATGGGCCTAATCTGTGAACCCTCACATGGTTGAAAAGTGTGCCATCTATCTAAGAGGGAAGCTGCTAGAATTCTAAACATTAACTAATCTTCCTTGTACAACCATTACACTGCTGGAACTCTAACCAACTAATCTACCTCATGCAACTAGTACGGATTCCCCACTCCACTGGCAGTCTCCAATTCTCCTGAGATTGAGGAATCCTATCCCAAGATGACACAGTATCCTGAATAGTAGTTATAATGTTCTTTTGATGGTGAATGGCTAAATATGGAGATCTAATTTACTTGAACAAAAAGTCTTACTGTCCAAAGGGAATTTGCTATAAATTTGACTTCTGCTATGTATTTTCTTCCTTCATTATGGCCTCCTCTGGCCAACACTTTTGTCTTTTCCAACAAGTAATTAACAGTCAACTCTATATGCCTTCAAAATAACATGTAATAAAACATTCCCAACAGATGTTTAAACTTCAAATTAGATTTTTTCATTCTTGGCATTTTCTTTAGTCTGACAAATTTGCCAAGAGTTTGCATGGGTAGCAATTACTTGATTTTGTCTTAACAAAAATGGCTGACTAAATGGTATATATTCACAAACTAAGCATGAGGGTAACAGCTGCAGAATGACTGTTTAATATTGGAGCTCTGCAGTTTACATGAAAGGGGGAAAATTTTCTGGTTCAGACCATGCAGAATAAAAGCTGTAAAAAATTGAACTGCATACGCAACAATCCTAATCAGGAATCACAAGAAAACAACATTTGCTTTATGGAATATGCCTACATGTGAAGATCATTTAAATGATCAAAAGTTACTTTTCAAACTATAAGAAGTGAAAGATATCACCCTTTTTGGATAAATAGCAGAGAAAAAACATATAACTCAAGGATCAGTGGTAACTTCAAGAAGAAGTTGACAGATACAGAAGAGCCTATCCATATGAAAAGGTTTTGGCACAACTATGTACATAGAAGCTCATTATTAACCTTAGCCCTAAAAGTCTATGCATGTGGTAACTAGTATCTTACAATGATTGTAGTACTACACCAAATGATTTTGATTTACACACGTATACATATTGTGGAGTTAAATAAACTAAAACAAAGCACTGTAGAATCTCCCCCACTAATTCTCTGTATATTATAAGACAAAAGATATCTGCAAAAGCAATAACGACTATCACATGCCAGACTTTTTACAGATAGAATACGTAATATGCATAGTTTACCAACATCTCCACTGCATCTTTGAATGTATTTCCCTCAGCAGCAATGGCTGAATCAACAGCCAAAGTTGATTGACAATTTTTCTTCAGAAGCCCAAGTGTTCGGTTCAGAAGATTCCCTTGCAGAAGTGACTAAAAGGTCAGCCTTGAAAAAACCAATTACCAGAGCCTAAAGAGGAATGCATGATGGACCCAAACAATGCCAAATTTTAGGAATTGGAAATTACCAATTGTGTTAGCAAGATGTGCATTGACAGTATTAATGAAACGGCTCTCAGAGTAATCCCCATCACTACCAAATTCAACCTCCTTGAGGAAAAAGTACCTGACAGCATCAGGTCCAAATCTTTGCACCAAATCAGTTGGTTCTAGTGTATTTCCCAGTGACTTGCCCATCTTGTTGCCATCCTAAGATTGTTAAAATGAAAAACATTGCTGCAGGAATCGAAGTATATAAATCATATAAATAGTGAAATCACATCACTTATCATTCAATTCTTCTTCTCAGTTCAAAATACATAGTTTTTTTTGGAGGAATACTAACCTTTACTACGTGGAATTCTAAAACCAAGGTATTGTAGTAATGATCCATGGAAGGTTTTAAAAGCAGGAATAGCTAATTATGAACCATAACTGAAGAGTTAATTTCTGGACGTCTAACACAATCATGGTCCTTGATATATAACAAGTCCAAAAAGAATTGAATAAAACTACCGTACAGAATTCTAGGAAAACATTCCATTAAGACAAAGAAGAATACAAATATTATTCAGGATTAAGTACCTTTGTCAAAAACCCATGGCCAAATACCATCTTAGGAAGTTGGAGTCCAGCTGACATGAGCATAGCTGGCCAATAAACTGCATGAAACCGTAATATATCCTGCATGGAAATGTCAGAAATTGATTCATCTATTTGTTAAAATAAGAAATATTGAACACATTAAATCATAAAATTCAATCAGATGGGCAAGATTGCAATGAGGACCAAGCAGATTATTTGATGCTGCTATTGCTATATGCTGAAGGTGATAATTAATAAAACATAAGAAGTTGGAGGAGACAAGCGGGAATGAATGTTAAAAAGCTACACCACGTGTTATTATCCCAAGCCAAGCAGAACAATGGTTTTCCCATCAATAGGATGTACATGGTTTGATTTTGACAGACTAAACCACATGCTACTTACAGGCTGCCTCCTAAAATGGGTAATACAGACATCTCTCGTGAACACATTAAAGAAACAAGAACAGAAAATATAGAAACAATTTATCGCATTAACAGTGAAGACAAAAAAAGGTAAAAAGTAACAGAAATATGCAGTTGTAGATCAGAAAATTCTTAATAAGTGCAAATAAAACATTAAAAGGTAAAGAATGATGTTTCTGTAATCAAGAGACTTTGTAAACGCTTGCTCAGCATGATACTATTATAAGACTCACTTGCTTTTCACTGGAGAAGTTAAATGCTATAAAATAAGTGGAATGAAGTTCTTCATATCAGATGAACACCATAAGAACCTAACATACAGAGCAGTTGTCCTTTTCATGTTCTTGTAGCTGCAATAGATTTTGGAGCCAAGAAGGAAGGAGTATAATATATCATGTACATCTTATCTCATCTCTATATCTCTGAGGTAAGCATAAAAAGAGAAGCTTCACAGCCTTAATCATAAAGTAAGCAAAAAGAGACCATACCTTGCCAATTAAGTGCAGAGATGTGGGCCAGCCTGATGAGATTGCAGTCTGTAAGTTTGGCTGCTCCCCATCATTCAATAAAGCAGAAATATAACTGCTCAAGATAAATAAAAGAAAGAGAAGGAAGTATAAGCAGAATAACCAAAAGAAGTATTGGAGGAACCTCTAAAGAGGGGCTACTCCACCTTGAACCAGGAAGAAAAAGCATGAAAAAAGGGAAATTAAAAAAAAAAAATACTTGAAAGTGAGATTGCTACAATACTGAAACAAATCGAAAGAGTAAGAAAGAAAATGAACTGAACAAAATTAAGTTTGAGGAAGCTTGTCAAGCAATTCCATGCTAAAAGATGAAGCAATGCAAAACCAAACAGTCAGATTAATGGAGAAGGCATTTAAACTCAAGTCAAGAACTACCGGTTTTGAAGAATGAATTAAGTAACTCACCCTACTAAAGCATCAAACCAAACATATATAGTTTGCTTGGCATCATTAGGGACCTCTATACCCCAATCTACTGATGCACGGGAAATGGAAAAATCTCGCAACCCACTTGTAATCCAGCTTTGTACCTAAATAGAGTTCTACGTCAGAAATAAAAAATGAAAATGAGCTTGATAAAGGAACAGATAACACCCACTAGTCATAATGTACTCTGAAGCAGGACTTTAGTAATGCTTAATGAAGAACATCTTTAGTGGGAGATAAAAATTAATTAAAAAAAAATGCATATGGAGCCAGGTAAAAATATATAGGCATGAGTGCAATCATCATTTCAATGAAGTCATCCCTTTAAGTTTTATGAGTAGAAATTTGAATGAATACTCTTAATTGGAAGGATAGTGTTTAGTTCAATCTACTCCAGCAATGACATTACAACATAAGGTTTATCGTGCACCAGGGTTGCTTTTCGTAAGCAAAAGGAGAATCCAGCACTATACTAAAAAAGGGTATTCCCTCTATCAGAAGGTATACAATACAAACTGAAGTTTGGACAGAAGCTATGCATGTAGGAATAGTCTGCCCACTCCAAGAGAACATACAAAACAAAACCAGTGCTTCAAGCTCGCTGGAGGTTTAAGGTGTTGAGAAGCTCCCGTATTTCTATCATTCCAGATTACCAAAACACTGCAAGTCCTGCACATTCCCAAGGTCTTCCATTTCCTCTATATTTACCTGCCTTCTCCAACAAAACATAACATCTGAAACCCTTCTTGGTATGACCCAATGACATCCTAACATATTTAAAACCATTACCCCGCATTTACATGACAGTCCAAACTGTAAGTTTATTTAAAACCATTCCTGTATATTCACCAGATCTCCCATACGCTGTTTGGTTTGTAAGTTTATTGCATTCCCGCTACCGCGAGGACAAGAATGCTGCTTCCTTTGGAGCCTTTTCCCCAAATAGCATACTGAGGAAATCTTCTTTCCAGTCATCCTCGTAGCATGTTGTAGTAGGATCTGCAGTGATTATTCTCTCCAATTCCATGAATCCTCTCCACTTTCACAAGGTTTCAACTGTATAATCTATTTCAATCATGGAACTGAATGTTTTGCATAATTTGAGTATATTACGGAGCTCAAGGTCAGTTTACTACAATTTCCAAAGTAGTTTAGACTCAAGAATAGAAGACTAAATTAGAAGTTTTGGTGTCCCTTCCTACTGACCACTTCCATTTGCCTCAAACTGTTGCATACGAGGAATAGGTCTAAGAGATAGTAACCAAATTGAAACAATCTAATCAGAACCCATGTATACATTCTTCGGATTCTAATTATTTTTCCATTAAAATTCAAAGGTGGTAAATGCAATGAAGTTCACATTAATAATAAAAATTAAAAACTCAGAACTTAAAATCAAGCTACAAAAATAAAATGAAGCATAAGTTGAATTACAGATAGATGCATAAAACTTTTTAACATATGAAAAGTGTATATGTCATGTGCAAGCCAGCATCAGGTTCTCCCAGCTCAATCAATTATTCAATTCACAGCTCCACAACTATATCAGATGATACATATTAGTCAAACAAATAGTACGTGCAAAAAAGATCATCAAAAATCCAGGAGCAATAAGATTGTGCTGTCATACCTCATTCAAGCGAAAAGGAAGGCTGCACAAATTCTGGATTCTCACTTAGCATCTTTCCTAGGAATCCTTCATACTTTGACAGGGCAAAGAAGTAATTGTCTTCTTTTTTGGCAACACATGGTTTTAGGTGGATGGGACAACAGTTGTTGTCCAGCAATTCCTTTTCCTCCTGAAATTTAACAGAGCAAAAATTTACCGAACCAGATGCAAAAGAAACAATACCACCATAGCTCACTGCTTATAGCATATGGTAAACACTATAAACTAAGGCTAAAGAGCACACAGCAGAAGACCATTCAGTTTTTCTGTAACAGAATGTTTTGGATATCCTTAATACATCATGAACTTGCTAAGTTATCTGCAGCTCATTTTCCTTCACCAGGAAACACTGCTGATGATTAGTTTCTACTTAAAGTGTACATGCATAAGGCAAAACATCCCATGTACTGCCACAGTCGGTGAAACACAAAGGAGCTTATAACATCTCAAACAAAATAAAGACAAACGAATAAGTAATGCTAGCTAGGCACTCTCTCTCCCTTTACCAAAAGCAAAAGGTGGAGCACCCCTTTTATAAAGCCTTCTCAACCCCTTTTATATTGCTTTCCTAATTTATCGAGGGACAAGAAAGGTCCCACTAGTACCTATCCTAGATTCTAAATTGATTTATTTTTTATTTTATTCTAAATTGATGGTTCTCACTGCACTGAAAATATAAAATTATAAATTAACCGTTTGCAAACACATGATTTCTGGTAATTATTCCCCTTTTACCTCCCAAATAATGTTCGCCCCTGCTGGTCTCTCCAGGATAATCTCTCTGAAACTTGTTCTACTAAAGCCATAAGTACAATGTCTAAATTCAATGCGAGGAACAACAAACTCTCATTCATCAGAGAAAGTGATATGAACAACAAGAGAACAAAGTAATGAACTATCCCAAAATATAAATTCACGGGTTTCAAATACTTGAACAGACAGTTTATGAACTTATCCAAACATTTTACTGTTTACATCTCCACTCCCAAGGTTAAGCATTTCTATTCATGGAGGGATCCAGAGAAAGAATAAGTTTTTACAAGTTTCCTGCATAGTTATATAGCATGCGCTCTTTTTAACAAGCAGAAATTGTGTGCACTTCATGTCTGGTAAATCAGGCAACTCAGGCTCAAGTGATGCATATAACAAAGATAATGAAACAACCCAAAAGCAAAATAAATAAAATTTAAATATGAGGTATGACCTTGTACTCTTCACAATTTACACAATACAGTCCCTCGTAATCCGCCCGATAAATGTCACCATTTGCTAAGACCTTAGAGTAGAATTCCTTCACAATTGCTTCATGCTTAGGATCAGTGGTCCGGATGAACTTATCATAAGCTATGCCTAACTGCAATCCGAGTAAAAAGGATTGAAATAAGAACAAAGTCTCGTTCTAGTTAGATGCTTCAGAATTAAGAAAGTCATATAGAAGCATCTAAGTATACATCTCTCCAGAGTGTCCTGTAAGCCTGTGATACGACATTGCAGTGTTCAGCAGGGCTACAACCACAGGCAGCCGCAGCAGTAGCAATCTTTTCCCCATGCTCATCTGTGCCAGTAATGAATACAACCTTATTCCCAAGAAGCCTCTGCACTTAGAATTATGAACAAGGATTAAAATTTACATTCCTTAATCAGCCTATATTCTAAGGTGGCTCCCTTCTATTATTAGCACAAGAATAACTCAACTAAAACTTTTGCATGCAAAAGCAGGAAGATGTGAGATTAAATGGCAAAAATGCACCTTGGTAGAGAAAATTACTGAAACATTAGCATCATTTACCCCAAGAGAAAATTAATGAAACTTTAGCATCAATTACCCTAAGAAGTTATCTGATTTTCAAACGAAGATACCATCCATTGTTGCTTTGACTGTACCCTTATCTTTCTAAGGTTCCATCTCAAACTTTTAGTGTCTTTGGACAATTATTGAAGAGAAAACTAACCCCTATCCAAGTAATATTTTGAATTAAATAAACAATTCTACGCTCCAAATAAGGGGAGAAAAAAAATATGGAAAGGACAAAGAGATGGAACCTGAAAACGAGCAATGGCGTCAGCAGCAACGGTAGTATAGGCGCTGCCCATGTGAGGCGGGGCATTCACATAATAAAGCGGAGTTGTGATGACAAAAGGCTCAGCATTTTGCCTGACACTCCTGGGACTAGTATTAGAATCCATAGTAATGCCTCTGCTGGTACTGCAAGTACAGTAAAGATTTCGTCTTGAAGAAGACCACGACATTCTCTTGCCGAAAAGGGACCTATTTGTGAAACGGGTCCTATTTGTGAAACGGGTCTTCTTTAAACTTACGGAATTGCACAAAGAAGAAGACGATGAAGTTGAGAATGATAGCAACCACAGCCTATTTTGTATGGGATTTTGAACTCTAGAAGCCATTTTTCTGTATTTTTCCACTTTCTGCCGAAGCTTTTATCTATAGCTACTAGTTATTGAAAAAAACTGAACAGATACATGTTGTTGAGTGAATTTTTTAATTAAGCAGGGATGTGCGGTAGTCACCAATTCGCCACCTCAAAACTCGAACGTTGTGAAGAAGGCTCGTAGCCGGAGGTTTTGGGAGGATAAAGGCAAGTTTGAGGCTTTAAGAAGTCTCGGGGGCAAGAAACAGGGGAACAGGAGGAGCAATAATTTTATGTGCTCAAGACTAGGATAAGGTGATATGGCGCCAGAAAGGCCACGGGATTTGGGTAGTTAAGTCCTGGAGCAATCCAAGAGTTGCCGGCTTTTGGGTTGACTTCTGGGATTAGGTTTAATTAGTCAAATTTTCGTTTCTCGAAAGAAGAAAAAAACAATGGCAGTAATCTGCCTGCGTCAGTTCGAAAGAAACTCTGCTTGGGTCGTCATTCTCTGGGCTTGTGGGGGGTCTTCACCGCTTAGTAGCAGCGGGTCTAGTGGGTTTGGCCCCTGTCGGGGTTTCTATCCCACATCGGCTTTGGGGGGGTTGGGATTTGGGTAGTTAAGTCCCTGGGAGCAATCCAAGAGTGGCCGGCTTTTGGGTTGACTTCTGGGATTAGGTTTAATTAGTCAAATTTTCGTTTCTCGAAAGAAGGAATGGCATGCGACGAGTCTTGTAGTATTCCAGATTGTATTTTCAATTCGTATAGCTGGATTACTACTTTGTTCTGAAACAGATAAGAGCCTTCATATTTTTTTACTGTTGAATACAGTGAAGGAAAAAAATGCAATCGATTCTTTCGTCAATTTGATTGCCTTTTTCTTTCTTTCTTTTCACTTGTCCGGTTCTTGAACAAACAAAAGCACGGAGAAGTCGAACGTATTCACTCCGAGTCTGATTCGTTGCATTCTGTACAGCATCACTTTCATGGGGTTCTCAAGAACTTTCATCCGCGGAGAAATGACCAAGTAGAACAAAAGCTCCTTGCTCGGATATTCAGGACCATCTCTTGCAATCCAAAAATTTGCTAGAAAAGGAATTTAAAGATCTAACTCCAAAATTAGCTGGATTTTGAGCTGGACCAACCCTTTGTGTCTACCAGTACATGGTGCAGATTGCAGAGAATCACTAGAGAGTTTTGACTTATTTGTATCCAGTTCTACAATTAACCATGCCCGAAATTTAGTTGCTCTTGAAAAGTTGAAATCTTCTTTAATGAAGCCTAGTGCAGTAGAATCTTAATGCAGTGAAACATTCACAAGAAAATTGTTCTACTCCGTACGTGCCTGCAAGAGGTTTTTTTTTTTTTTTTTTTTTATTTCAAGATCGAAAGGCACACATAAATATCCAAATGGTTCCGGTACCAAGTTAACACAGCTAATGATAATTTCTCCTGCACGTATTGACTAAAACTGGTTGCACTCCAATAGCTCTCATGCTTGAATGAGCCATTCGATCACACACTGCAGCTCATGATGCATATTTTCACGGTATGCATGCAATCTAGATGGTAGGAAGTTTAAGTACTTCCATTTATGATTTCAGATAAGGCAAAATGGCATCACATTACCAATTTGCTTCTGCTGTTGTGCGTGCAAGACACAGTTCTAACTATTCAGAACTAATCTCGGACATGGGAACTGTTTTGCACATTACACATCGGTCACCTTCATAACAGAATCTCAATGCAGTGAAAGATTTCAAAGGTCATGTCTGAATAAACTGAACCAATAAAACCACAAAATCCCGAACTTTGCAGTATCAGTTTATAGAAACTCAAGCTAGTTTTGCACCCAGATAGGTTAAGAGAACATTTATGCAACCAGAGCCATCATTTTTTGATACTAGTGCTCAACAAATCCGGAAAAGAAAATTACAGAGATGAAACCCTTTCCAACACTGTAAAGAGTCTCCACTTATCAGGAAATCATACGTAAAGAAATTCACCTGCAAATGTAAACGAAACAAAGTCAGTAGAATGAAAAAGATCCAAATATTTAGTCCTGTCTAGACTGTACTTTAGAACATAAAAACTTAAAAGAAGAAAAAATCTGTTCACCAGCTCATAACTTAAATGTGAGATAACAATTATTAACCAGAATGAATACAGGAGGTGACGTTGACGATCAGGAAATGGTTTTTAGCTAACCAGAACACAAGAAGGATTAATCTTTTACTTGTAGATTATTTTACATCAAGGGGAACTTCTAGGTGAATTCATGTATTTAGCCAAATCAGAATACAATAGCCAAATAATCAGGACATCAGAGCCGTAAATGCAATTAAAGTTGAAGATTTATTAGAAACAAAAGCCATACATTGTAAAAATAGCTAGTGAACTTATGATGTACGACGAAAAACAGGTAGGGTAGCGACATCTCAAGTTGTCATCTAAAATATCACAATTACATGAAAAACGCTAATAATAAGCATAATTGCACATTAAGGAAATCATCTACCGCAGCAAGCTTCTGCATAGTTAGCATTTGACCTGTTCTTTAACATATATTTAGCTGGGAAAATGTAAATTTCAGAGTACCTTTGGAGCTGCTATTTATACTAGTTTTAACTTGTTGAAACTTTGCACACAAAATGCACTTTCCCTTATACATAACTTTCCCAGGATAGTAGCTTACTTCTTTAGTCATAAATAGCTAAAGCAAACATAATCATGCCCACAAGTGGATTAATACTTTCAGAAGATATTCCAGTTGCCACAAAGACGTTGCTCCTCGTGCAAGGCACAACTCAGGAACTTTTAACTGAGCAACTTCTCGAATGTACTCTCAACAATGCCTCAATTAGAGTCAGTTCAAGCACTATATTATATAAATAATCATGCATGAGGGCAAGAAACAACTCAATTTATTTCATTCATTGTAGATACCACTGTCATCATTAGTCTAACAAAACTGAGTAAAGAGCTTGGCAATGGGGGAATTTATGAACTCATGGGGCATCTTATACTTAGGTCAAGTATCTGAATGCTAACTCATAGGCAACGATGTCCGTCATATCATCAACAGTTTGGATTATTCGAATAATGCCACAAAAGTATACAATATGTGCATCACCCTGGAAAAATAATGATATGGTACTACCAACAACCATACACCAAGAAATGATGTAATCCGCAAACAATTTTGACTTCCACTTGCAAATAATGGGCAAATTGAAAACTAGGCGAGGGCAAGTGTGTGAATGTTGAGATTTGAGAACCAAACAATCAACCTAATGTTGCTTCAGTCAGTTACAATTAAAACAACGGCGCAATTAAGGACTCAAACTTTTCTCCAAACGAACGAAGAAAAGAGAAAGATGGGCACACTCGAACGAAGAACATAGAAAATAAACCAAACAATGTAAGAATCAAGAGCCACGATTAAAATAGTAACGAACAAAGAGAGTTCGTGGATTGGATCTAAAATCTGGAAAAGCTTTGCTAGGGCTAGTTTAATAGAACAGATAACGGACTTACTATTTTCTAATCAGTGTTTCTTGTGCCTCTGCACAAACGGAGAGTTCTTGGCGTCCTCCTCTGCCAGATCAATCAATCATCCCACCAAGATAATTAAAAAGTAAAAGTCAGGCACAAAAATTATGAAGATAATAGAAAATGAATAACAAATACAAAATAAATACAGGAAAACAGCAAGAGGGTAAAGGCGGGCGGGCTGACCGGTGAGGCTGAGGGACAACTTAGTGATGATGGTGCCAGTGACAGCGAAGCCGACGAGGAAAGGCCAGCACCGATTCCATTCTCTCCTGAAAAACACCGGCCACGGATCAAATTTCCTCATTTCTCTCTCACTTCTCGATGGAATTGGAATACACTCAGGTGGTCAGCTGAAAACTGGTAATGAGACTCCTGCGAGTTGAGACGGGAGATAAAAAGACCCACAAGTAGTTAGTGAAAGGGCTCAATTTAGCTTCTGTATTGGGCTGGGCCTCAAATGGATTTTAATAAAGTCAAGTTTGACGGAGACTGGGCCACATACCATTTGCGTACCAAAGCTTAAGAGAAAACTGTATACTTTATGATAGCTACTATGAATCAAGAATATTCTTTTCAAAATTCCAAAATTTATTGCTAGTAGAATTTGTCTAGAGGTTTTTTTTTTTTAAAAAAAAAAAGAATTTGTCTAGAGGGTAATGGACCTCAAAATTATTTTGCATAGGAGATTATTTGAAATAATATTTTAAGAAAAACGTTTTAACATCTTTTTTGATGTGATGTGTATGATATAAAAAGATAGTTAAAAAGATAAAAAATTATTTTAAAAAATGTTTGTGATGTAATTAAAAAATTTTTTGGCAAATAAACCTCTATCCAAACACACCATGTTTCCTTCCATTTTCAATCAAAATCTAGGTTTTATAGCAAGTGATGTTGCATGTAACCCTAACAAGATTCTTTATATAGGCTATACATAAAAAAATCTAAATAATTGTGGATAATGGCCTGACATGCAATACAAGTTATGCATGCATTACCTCTCTTACCTTAAAATCTTCAAACCTTAATTTATTTGATTGTTATGCGACTAGGTTGAAGTAACGAATGCTTTTGGACTCATCTCTTGTGGCATCTAAGTAATTAGGAACATTAGCTTGGATATTTGTTCATTTTGGTGTGGAACTAGCAATTTTTCAACATAAACTATTCTCTTGATGCTTAATTATTTTACAACTACATTTAAGGGTTATATCAATGAATTGCAACATGTATATGTGTACATTTGCACTTCCAAAATATCAATTATCCCTAAAAAAAGAAATGCTTTCACCTTGGGGAAATGATAAATTTCAAAAAATGTTTTCGAGGTTTAGAGGCTTTGGAGCAACTAGTGGCATCATGCAGTCACGTGGCAAAAGGCAAGGCAAGCAATGGGATGCAGGGAAAAATGATTTAGGTAATCGTAAATTAATATGCCTCCACGTCAAGGATCAGCCTTGGACCAAATTCGAGGTCCCGCCATCCATCAGACGTAAATCGTACGCTCGCTACTCGGCCAGGTCATGGATCCAGATTGAACCAAAGAAATAGCGAAATATCCACCGTCGATTTTCGCCTGATCCATAAAAAATCAAATAGTAAATGGAAATTCACAACTAACCGCCCAATTGCCCAAAACTAAAAATTAAAACAGCCGCCAGAATTTCAAGCCCCGCTTTCACCTTCAGATCCCTTTATATAAACGAACCCAGTCTACTTGCCCAATTGCCACAATCAACAGAAGTTGATAACTTCCAAGTCACACAAATATTTGTGGAGAAAATGTCAGGCCGTGGAAAGGGAGGCAAGGGATTGGGCAAGGGAGGAGCAAAGCGCCACCGTAAGGTGCTCCGAGATAACATTCAGGGCATCACGAAGCCGGCAATTCGGAGGCTGGCTAGAAGGGGTGGAGTGAAGAGAATCAGTGGGCTGATCTACGAGGAGACCAGAGGGGTTCTTAAGATCTTCTTGGAGAATGTGATTCGCGACGCCGTCACTTACACAGAGCACGCTAGGAGGAAGACCGTCACCGCCATGGATGTAGTTTACGCTTTGAAGAGGCAGGGCAGGACTCTCTATGGCTTCGGTGGTTGAATTTTGGGTGGATTGGCCCGCCCCTTTGTCTTTCCTTCTTTTTTCGTTTATTTTTTTTGCAATGGGTTTTTAGGTAAACGGGGCGCTACTTTGATCTGGTTGGGTTTGATCAATGTAATTGAATCAAGTTTCAATTTTATGAGAAATTCAGTTAAAATTCAGTTAGTGTTTCACATTGGATAGACCTTTCTTTCGCTCTTTTATTTAGTATTAGTTTTCCTTTTAAAAAAAAAGTCCATCTTCGGACCAACTTCAAAACCTTTTTCTGTTCAACTAACACAATGGCCACATAAAGGCATAAAAACCATCTTGAGTCTCAAACATAAGGAGGCCAGTCTGACCACTCACATTTTCACTAATTTATATATTATGACGCAAATTTTGAATGTAGCTCATTCTCTACAGCTTAAAGCGCGAAAAGGGATGAGGAGGAATAATATGGGGAGAGAGTAGGAAATTTCCAGTATGACATGGACGTATCAAGTATTTGAACAAGTTTTAGTTCAATTCTTCCGGGAGATCTCAAGCCTCTTTCGGAAATCATCCTCCATGAGGGGAAGGCCTTCTCGTAATTTGACCTTTGGCTCCCAGCCTAACAACTCCTTGGCTTTTGTGATGTCTGGTTTTCGCTGACGAGGATCATCAGGGGTGTTTTCAACAGTGATGATCTCCACTTCGGGATTGATAAGCTGCAAAAGCACAACAATTAATTAGATTTACTAAGCTATCCGAGTTAGTTCATTATGAGCTTAAAAAATGTACAGAAGTAGCTTGAGAAAAAAAAAAATTTCTCTTATTCGAGCATGAGTCAAGATGCTACCTCCTTCACAGTCTCCGCAAGTTCGATCATAGTAAATTCACCTATTTGAAAACATTCGGCAACACGAGAAAAAGAGAAAGATGGAGTTAATAGAAATGAGAAAGCAAGGACAGAGGAAATCTTAAATTAAAGTTAGAGCAAATCACCTGGATTGCCAATGTTAACAGGACCAGTGTGCTCTCCCTCCATAAGACGAATCAGACCATCAACCTTCACGATTTGAATTATGGATTAGGCATCAAGGCAAAGTCAGACATGATAAGTGTGTAGTTCAGTAAGGATGCATACCATGTCAGAGACGTAACAAAAACTTCGCGTTTGTGTACCAGGCAACTGGACTGTCAACGGTTCATCGCTGTGCATGTGGAGGAAGAACAGGTAGTGCATTTGTGAGTAAATTTAGCAGAAATCTCAAAGTTACATGACTATCATCTTGCAGATGGCAAACATTAAAGCACTCTTCCATTAACATTGTGGACAATCAACAAGGTAGAAAATGCTTTTGCAGTAAGACTTGCAAAGGTAAATTGAGGAGCTAGGAGCTACGGACTAAAGTAACATACCGAATTGCTTGAGCTATGAAATTGCTGACCACCCTACCATCATCAATATTCATACGAGGTCCATAAGTATTGAAGATCCTAGCAATCCGTATCTCTGCCACATAATTACAGTTCCACATCAATTACAAATGCGTTACATTAGCACCATTTCAATAGCAGTTAAACAATGCATTACATTGGAAAAGAAATTAACTACATGTTGAAAGTTTTCCATGAGCAAGTGGATCTAGAGTGAGCGGGGAACTTACCAATTCCATGCTGTCTATGGTAATCAAACATTAAAGTCTCAGCAACCCTTTTCCCCTCGTCATAACAGCTCCTAACTCCTGCAATTAACATAGAGGCAATAAGTACGTGCTTTTCTTTGCATGATCACATTCAAATAAAACCAGAGGCATGTTCTTAGCATGTTTGATGAAACTCAGGCTACAGTTCCATAGATAAAGCAGACAATAACTGTCTTTAGTCTGAACTTCCAAGGAAAAACCAAGCGATGCAGAAAACCAGTTCTAAGCTAGGGAGTTTAATATTTAGCTATTTCAAGAAATTCTGGCGTGAAATATGAATCACTGTTCTACAACATCTATAATTCTACACACTTTGAGCCAGAAAAATCAGTTAGCAATAACTGTAGCAATTTCAAGAAAAAAGTCGTAATTAAGCACTCGCTCATTGACTGAAGTCATGAGTACTGGCAACATACAAGAAATCAAATTTTCCTCAAGTATCAGTCAATTAGTGGGTTAGCAAATTCATCATCAAGAACTAAAAGATAGGTTGATCAGTATACCAATTGGGTTAACATTTCCCCAGTAGCTCTCAGTTTGAGGATGCACTAGAGGATCTCCATAAACCTCAGAAGTTGATGTCAGCAAAATCCTGTGGCAAAAGCAAATATAATGAAATGTGGTTCTACCCAACAAATATAGAGAGAGGGGAACTTGAAAAGTACCTTGCCCCAACACGCTTAGCAAGTCCCAGCATGTTAAGCGTCCCAATCACATTAGTCTTGATCGTCTACCATGACAAGAAAAAGTGAGAACCAGAAGAAGTTAACAATGATGAAGTCACAGCTGTAAAAAGTCTATACGTGAAAACAAGTTTGACAAGATTAAGCCATAAAGACCAATAAGGAGGAGGAAGGAGAACTCCCTCAAAGTGCAAGAATTAGTTGAGTAGCAGACATACAGGCCACAAAATAACAATGTTGACGGAGAATATCCTGGTTACAAACCTTCACAGGATTGTACTTGTAAAAGATAGGGGATGCAGGACAAGCAAGATGGTATATTTGATCAACCTCAACTAACAATGGTTCTGTTACATCTGCAAATCATAAAAATAAAACAATTAACATTCCTTACCTGAAGTGCCATCTAAAGTATCTTCAACTCAATGAAATATATTTAAATCCAAACACAAAATGGAAACAGGATATAACATGTGACAGACTTTAAAACCAAGAAGAAAACGATTAGCATCTCCATATTATACGAGCAACTGAAGAGGAAGAACACCTAAATCGGAAACCCTGGTTCCAGAGTTTGTAATGGTTGAGGAGATGTGATCCATGGTTGTTCAAAGTAGTATTCAGAGTCTCCACAAACATCAGATGAGAAACATTATTTATCACTCTCATTTTTTATATTGTTGAAATCACTGAAAGCATAATAATTCAAGAAAATCTGGTGCCTAATATATTAGTTTCTCATACTAAGGATATTATAACTATTAAGACAATAGCATACCATGACGAATAAGCTCAAATCTTGGATGTCCAATCCATTGCTTTAAGTTGTCTTTTGACCCAGTAAAGTAGTTATCCACGACAATCACCTAGTGAAAATCACAGTAAATTCTAGTATAAAGACCAAAAAGAACAAATATCCAATTCCTACAGCCCGTTAAATAGCCATATCCTAATACTAACTGCTGCAAAAAACAGCATGAGCTAAGAATTTCACCTCGTTTTTCTCATTCTGCATTAATCTGTCAACCAGGTGAGAGCCTATGAATCCAGCGCCACCAGTTACCAAAATTCTCATATTTGCCTGTTCAGGATAAAAACAATTTCCGTATGACAGCCAAGAATTAACGGAGAACAAAAGAGAAAGGAATCTGGAGTAACCATCAGACAAAAGAATTGGATTGAAGTGCACATGAACGTGCATCCAACCACAGGGAACAAAATTAATAAACAGTCAAAATGTCTCTAAAACTTTCAAATTTCTACTCTATCTTATAATGGTTGTCTGTTTGTTCTATGCTTGTGCCCTCCTAAAACTACATTATTATCTATTTAGAAAAAAAAAATCCACGATGAAGGGGGTTTACGCATATTTTTACCTGAAAAAATTTGGCATTTCTCAGAGGCGAGGGCTCCGGGGGTGGTTTTGTGGTCACATGGTTCTCTCCGTTTGAAACTTCCTTGGCCATTTGTTTCACTTCTCTACTTCCTGAACCAAATCCAACAAAACCCAAAAATGGCCATTTAATTCCAGTCAATCCCAATAAAACATAGTAATTCTGGTAAAGTTTGCATCTTGATACCAATTCAAACAATGATCTAAAAACAATAATAACGACGAAAAGAAAAACAAAGGAAGATTTAATTGCAATCCCCAACTCGTTCCCACGGACAGAAATTTGAAGCTTTGATCACCTGATACAATTCTCAAGAATGTAGTTGTATTAACAAAATGCAGCAATCGGCAAAACTTGAGCTTTGTGCTTATATAACCGAAAAACTTTAATGCTCGACAGCAAAATTCAGACAAACAACAGACATGAAAAGCATGCATTAATAATTGGCTCCACACCAAACTGTACCAACCTTTGAGAGAGACAGAAAGATTGAAAAATCTTCAAGATCACGGCAACGAGAAAAGAAAAAAAAAAAGAACCAGATTTAAATGTGTGTGTGAAGAGCGTGATGGAAGCTTGAAATAAACGAAAGTGTAGTCCCACACCTGACGATTTCAGATCTAAATCTAAACAAATCAAGTGTCCCAAACATGTCAAAATGTTTAACAATCACGTTGATTGCATAAGATCATTAAGAATAGATTGAATACAAATTAAAGAACAAAAAGGGTTAAACCCACAACGTTTTGCAGTTTACCTCTGTTGAGTCTGAATCAGATGAATTCTGAGGTTTTAAAACGTAGTCCTACGTTGATGTCTCCACGCTTATAAACACCGCTTGCGAAACTGATGCGGTGGGGGGGGTCCCGTAGAGCAAGAAAGAGTACAGTAGCTTCCTGTGTTCGGCCAGTTAGGCGATTTCTTCTTCGTAAGCCGTCTAATTTAGTCAAGGTGGGCCACATCTTCATACTATCGGAGCGGTGTATAAATTTCTTTTTTTTTTTTATTACTTTGCAGGGATAATTTCAGAAACCTCCTCTGAAGTTTTTAACTATTCCACTGGCCTCCCTTTAAATTTTGAACATTACATTAATCACCCTTAAGATTTATTCTCTTATAATATCTAAATTCAATCAACAATTAAAAAGTAATGTTTAGCAGAGAAAAGATAATAATATGATCTCACTATTGCTCCTTATCTACTAAATTGTTTAATTAATTTAATACCGACCCAATTATTAAAGAAAGCACTAGAATTTGCTATTTATTATTAGAAATTAAATCACATATGATATCAAAAATAGTATATTATTCAATATATTTCACTTAATATAAGATCTAAATTACTCTTTTCAGTTACAAATCTATAGTCAAACAAAATTAGTAACAGATAATTAAAAATTTTGTAATCAAAATATTACAAAGAGCAAATTTTAACATAAAAAAACTCAACAACTAACATGAATATATTGATAAGAATATTTATGATGTTAAAGTTTGTTTTCTGTAATATTGGTTGCAAAGTTTTTGATTATTTGTTGTTGATCATATTTGGCAATGAGTATGAAAAGAATAATTTGAATCTTGTATTACGTAAAAAATATAAAATAATATACTAATTTGGATGTTATATATGATTTGATCCCTATTAATAAACAATAAAATTTAGTATTTTTCTTTAATATGTAGATTGATATTAAATAATATAATAGATGAGGGACAATGTTAAAATCATATTATTTTCTCTCTTCTAATATCACTTCGTAGGTATTGGTTGGAGTTAAATATTACAAGATAATTAACTTCATGAAGTTAGCGCAATTTTTGAAACTTATGAAAGGCTAGTGAAATAGTTAGAAACCTCATGGATGATTTCTAAAATTATCCCTACTTTGTATTGCAGGAGATGATGCGAGCGTTGATCTGCCACATAGGCTGTAGTTAATTTGATCCATTAGCAAAATTAATTTGGGTGATTATGGGTTTTAGACATTTTTTGTTGCTCGGGCGATTGGATTTATTGCGAGTTAGGCAAGCCTGTAATTGCAGTGACGTAGTATGCACCAACTATTGGACAGCAGCTGTCATCGTCTTTGGTGATTTCATGTTATCTGCTGTGTCATTTACACGCAAGTTATATACCAAATTGCAACTTTCTTCCCTTTTTAGGCTGAAAACGTACGAATAGGATCTTATTTGATGAGGAAATTTCTATCAACTTAATGAAAATATCTGAGAGAATATATATGCATGTATTAGGGACATGCGCCAAAGGAAAGTCTTCATGATGTTTGTTAATACACTACAAAAGTTTAATAGCTATTAGCAGTACGAATCTCGTATTATTAGGGAAGGATTGGATTGAATAGTAAAGTATGAGAAATTATAAGCATGATATTTTGGATTCAAGATTTGATGATAATCGTGGCAGAATATACGGACACAAAGATTAATTCAGTGGCTTTGCTAGTGATTCTAAATTGGAAAAGGATAAGAAGCTGATTTTATTAGCACTGAATACCATCAATTTACTTTTAGTATAGTCATTAGACAATCTAGATCTAATAGATTACTTATTCCTTGTTAGTAAATTTAGCAAACGAATATACACAAAGTGGCTGTAGTTTAGTGGTAAGAATTCCACGTTGTGGCCGTGGAGACCTGGGCTCGAATCCCAGCAGCCACACTTACATTTTCTTATTTTTCTGCAGTGCATTTTTCTAAATTCCCAAACTACCCTCATTCATCAGCCTCAGTTCCGGAAGTACCCCTCTATAAATTAGCAATAAACCCTGGGCTATACTCACTAACGTTTGCGGTTTGCTCTCTTCATTTGCGACGCGAGCGTGATTGGTTTACGAGGACGACGTCGACGTCCGCGGTTCACCGGAAACTCTTGGCCTTTTATTTATATTTTTATCATCGGAAAAAGGTATGACCACTAGCGATCTGTCCTTCCGTCTATTTGTATGAAAATCTCGTCCATGCGTCCAATATTTTTAAATTTTTTCCCTCACGTAACGAATAAATTACTAGACTCTCTCATATTTTTGAAAGCAAAAAGAGTGGAGACAACAAAAGGTTTTGGATGTATTTGCATTTATTAGCTTCAGTTTGGAACCATTTATGACATTCGTAACTGTCTTAGATCAGATGATGATAGATGGGGTGAAAACTGAAAACCGGGCTAAAAGTTCAGATCTCAATTGTCACTTTCTTTCGTATGTATGCTGTTTTCTTCTGAATTGAACCAAGAATTCCATTCCAATGCAAAATTAGAAAGGGATCGCATAGCGGAGTGGATATCGCGTTAGACTCCGGATCTAAAGGTCGTGGGTTCGAATCCCACTGCGATCGCCTTCTGCTTTCCGTCTTCTTCTTTTTTTTTTTTTTTCCCGTTCTTGTCCATCTTTTCTCCCTTTTGAATTTGTCTATTCTAGTTCTTCCTGTTTAACTATCAGGAATTCTCTTTTTTTTTTTTGGGGGGGAAAATGACTTTGGCCAATAGCTGTGTAATATGTTTGTGTATTTGCTAATTGCTACTTTTTTTTTTTACCCTCGTTATGGAGCAGTTGTTTAACTCAGTCACAAGAGTAGTGTCAAACCTCGTACCTTCAGAGAATTGAGCTGATTCAGCTGCAATTTCTTGTATAAAATGATGTTATTACGTTCATACACATTCAGAAAGATGTGTGTCAAAGCTAGCTTCTCGTGTCTATTAGATGGGATAAGTTAATCAAGAATAGCTCGTGCATCCATTTTTCAGGAAAGGAAAAAAACGAAGAAACATGTATATGATGGATTATCTTAGTATTTCTTTTGACGTTATGATGACAATTATTGAAGGTAAGGATGTTGTAGGAATCTTAGAGGTGGGTTCTTGATTTTGATGTGTGATTCATATATAATGAGATAGGGATACATTATTGAGGACAGTTGCAATAATTCTTCGATCAGATTTTTACTTCCTATGTGAAGAGTACGATGAGTCAAGGGTGGCATTCTTGATGGTTGCCTGTTTTGTTTAGATACCGTGGCCTTGTGAAAATAATATATTGATTTTCTTTAATAATTGTTATTTAGAGTCTCCAATCAACGAAGATTGTGAGAATCTTGTGAAAGAAATACCCAGTTTTGTTGTGGAATAGATTAAAAATGAGTTGGGTGCATTGACACTATAGGGCGTCTATTATCCATGTCACTTCATTGTCATAGGGGTTTAAGAAAATGATGAATGAATTGGTACTACGAAAGGGTAGTTGACCAGAAGTAGGCATCTGAGTTTTTTTTTTTTTTTTTTTTGTTGGGGGGGGGGGTGTGGAGGATCTTGTCTTTTGAGGGAATTGAGGTAGCCATTTTGAAAAACAGAGGATTGTAAAAAGCTGGGAACATCATGAAGAGTTCTTGTAGTTTGCAAGTTGCTCCGTGTTCTTATTTATTTATTTATTTGTATTTATTTTTTACGTTTCCAAGCAAAGGTAACAGATTTTTCTGACCGTCATGGAATTAATAGAGCAAGCATCATTTTACTACGTCCTTCAATAAAGTACTACTTTTGACTGAGATAACCATCTTAACTCTAACGCTAAATAATTGTCTTGAATAACTGTTATTGCAGTGATGGATGATCAGACTTTGGGATTCTTTGCGAGCTTTCTCGGCGTGTTCATATTTCTTATGGCTATTGTTTACCATTACGCTATGGCAGAGCCAAAATACAGAAGCAACTAGACCTTCATCATCTTCGTAGAACAAGAAAACTAGAACTTCATCGACTCCAAGAAAAAGAAAGACCTGTACTTTGTGTCTTATGCGTGAAAGGTTATTAGGAACTGGCAGGTCTAATTGAATTGTGTCATGATACATGATGCTTACAGCGTTCTACAAACTGGCATAATTCCCAAATTGGCCATGTTCCGAGTATGGTTGTATCTTCGTTTGCATCTATTTCTATATCGCGCGTGAACAGCCACGTTTAACTTGTCTGCTGTAGTTCTCTTTGTCAGTAGTTCTTATTTCTTAACCTTCAAATTTTGGCTAACGCGGAGAAGCACGCGAATATCAACTGCTAATTCAGAAGCTTTCCGGGGATGGCAACTACAAGTGGGGCCAACATTTCAACATTGTCGGTAAGTACAAGAAAGTAAGAAACCAAAGTTTGCTCTGAACAAGTAAATTAAAAAAAAGGAGTGGAATCGAATCAAGTTAAATTTTGAGTTCAAGCAGTGCTACTCGAGTTCGATTTGATTTGAGTTAATAAGTTTGAACTTGAGTTCAATTCGAACTCTATCTCGATTTTATATTGACTTACTCGAATTTGATCGTATCAATTTCATTTGATCTCAATTTAAGTTCAATTCAGCCCGATCAATTGAGAGATATGACTTGTTAGTTTGTAAATGAGTACACGTTGAGTAATGTTTCAAGACTAATGAGTTCACGTTAAATAATGCTTTAACTTTTTTTTTTTTTTTTAAAAAACAATTCCATTTCTTTTTGTAGCTTGGTGCACAATTTTTACTCAGTCAATTATATTTTTGAAAAAAATCAATCAATTAGTAATTACAACTGAATTAGAGAAGGTTGTAAGAATAAACCTCCCTTTGCTCATTTCTTTTTTTTTTTTTCTCATAAGAAATATGACGAGTTGACTCAGATACGTTATGGAGAAAGTTGGTTGACTATCATGAGAGTTGGTTGATGCTATAATTTTTTTTCGAAGAGGAAAAACTGCGCCATTTATTTCTTGTAGGAAAATAAATTTTCTTGTTTTCAACAAATTTTATCTGAAAAACCACTTTACTTTTTTTTTTCTTTATGATGCTTTATTTTCTTCTTTGTAAAAAATATAAAAGATATTAAGTGGTATTAACAATGCCCTATTAATAAATCAAGCGCCCATTGCTTTTCATTGGCTTGTTTAGCATTTAGTGTACGTGACCTGTTTTATCAATTAGCAGTATATTCAAGTCTCATTTGTTGCTCTCATTGCATGGTGAAAAGATTATTTCTGAACGGTCAAGCCGAACTGACCTAATACGTCCTCTTCCCGAGCGACGTGACTTTGTGCTGTATTTTTCCTGATACACACACTAGACAGGGCTTTTTCTCCCAGAATACCTCCGATGATTAAGTTAGTTTTTTGGAAAATGAATAATGTAAATGAAAATAGTAGAGAGTTCTCTCCCTTTATTTAGGAGGGAATGATATTTATAGAAGATCAACCGGAGGGAAGGATGGACCTGATGGTGGACTCCAATTCCCTAGGATCTGACAGCCTGTGTGTCCTGTCTGTGTTGACAAGATGTAGCAGCGGTCAGATCTCGTCAAACGTCATGTCTTTCTTTCATGTAGATGTTGGGGGTCCCTCAAGGTGTCAATTATTAGGGACAATTCATTAGTCGAGACGCTGAGGGGCTCGGCATTTCATTGAGGAGCCAAATTGATACAACCTCGGACCGAGGTAACTGGAAATACAAGAAGCCCCGGTCCTTTCTTTATAGCGGTAGGGTCAAGGTGACCGTCGTCACATGGTATTATTAAATTCTTTTTCCTACTAGTTTGAAGAAATAAAACAGTTTGAAGAACATATTAATTGTTTTGTAATATTGAAGTGATCCTTTCAACTGGCCATGGCAGTGGGTCTAAGGATTGTGGCTCGTTCGATCAATGTATCATTTCCATTCGACACTCTTTAAGCTGGTTTGTTTGGATAGGGTATTATTTGGAATAATTATTGTAGTACTTTTTGTGATGCGATGTATGTGAGATAAAAAGGTAGTTGAGAATATAAAAAGGTGAGTTGGGAAATGTGTTTATGATGCAAGCGAAATATTGTTTGAGATAATAGTGCTATCCAAACACTTAATGATTACCACTGCTTTCTTCCTTCACTTCTTTCATTTGCGACGGAAAAGAAGTAATACTAGTATATTAGTCTTCATAAGTGTGTTTGGATAGAAGATTATTTAGAATAATTTTTAAAAAATATTAAATTTTTTTTGGTGATATGATGTATGTATGTGACATTTAAAAAAACTAGATAGAAAGATTAGAAAAAAGTGATTAAGAAAACACATTTATAATGTAATCGAATAAATTTTTTCCATATAAGATACCATCCAAACAAACTTATTAACTATCAGTAGTTAAATATTTTGTGTTTAGGAAATATTCAAATATACTATTGTTCATTAATTATAAAAATATGATTAGTTTTTTCTATGATTAATTAATTTTTTTACATTATAAAAAATGTAATCAAATTTTTTCTATGTTAACAATTTATAACCTAACGATTAGATGCACGTGACATGTGTAAATTTTTTTTTTATTTTGGTAAAGTTTAAAATTCACATTCAAATTGTATGAAGTTATCTTTTTTAAATACCCATAAGTGTATACACCATTCATTTTTATCTTGGATGCGTCGCCCGCTGCCACCTTGGCTGGAGTGTTTCGTCCGCAAACACTTTACCGGGTCGATTAACCAATAACCATGCCAGTTTATGACGATTAATAGTAGTACTTCAATATTTTATCTAGGAATAATTATTTAAAACGTCGTTCAGATTTTTTTAAATAAATTTTTTTATCTTTCATTTTTAAAATATTAGCTTTACAACCCTTTTAAGTTTAAATCAATAAAATTTAGTCTTAATTTAAATTTTTGACCAATTTTTACTTTGAATTCATCAAGTAACTCACACTTGATCATTTTTTATTAGCAAGAAAAATTAGATACCATTTGTAATTAAACAAGTGATCCATCCATATTTAAATTTTCATATAAAAAATGAAATTTGATCCAAACTATATTTATTTTTTCTCTAAAAATGTATTATCTAATCTGATTCATATTCGTTTCTACCTCTAAACAAGTGAGAACAAGTCGTTTTATACATGAAAGATGATCACATGTGATTATGTCGTAATTTCAGATTAAAAAAATGTTCAAAAACTTAGGTTGAAACAAAATTTTATTGATTTGAATTTGGAAAGGACGTAAAATTAATATTTTAAAAGTGAAGAACGAAAAAAATTTATCTAATAAAATGTAGGGATCATTTTAAACGATTTTTCCTTTTATCTATAAGTACCTCTTTGGCATTATATACAACTAGTACTTCTTTGGCATCTTCTGTTAAATACTAAATTTGATTTTTTTTGTTGCAATTAATCTTCAACTCCAAAAAAAAAAAAAAGAATAACAACTGAATGAATGAATTGCAGACTAGTCAAATTAGCTGGGGAAAGATTAAAATGGTGGGCATCATCGGGTAGAAAGAGGATTGAGGAGAAGAATATATTGGTTAAACCAACATTTAACCGAGCAAATCAGTTACGTTTCACCATCAAATTTCACTCCTAATTGATTTTTTTTTTTTACATATAATTTGGGTGGTTGCCTTTCGTTTCTTGAATTTCCGAGTGTACGTCCAATAATGTTCATGTATTCCTGTTCCTTTTAATTTTCCCTGCTGAGACTTGAACTCCTTCACACAAACAGAATAGGTGTTTATATGTGCCTAAAATTTATTGTCTAAAATATATATTATTGGTTTTACCCACTTTTTTATTATATTTTTTTTACCCATTAGCACCTAAACGTTTCTTTGTCTGGTCGGTGAGAGCCACAACGGATTGAGTGGACCCAGCATCCTGTAGCGTGGAAACCTGGAAGGCACCCATCATCCCCCGCCTTTGTTTGCTTCTGAAGTCCCTAGAAACGTGTGATCTTTCAGGCTTGACAAATCCACTATATGCCACTGGCCATTTGGTCCAGTGGTCATTACCCTCTTTGGTGGTGCTGGAGGTCAGGGGTTCAACCCCTGCCTCCCTCAAATTTGCCACAATATGTGGCTGGTCTTAGTTGACCATCTCCCCTTGCCCCTAGATTAGGCTAGTTTAGGTTATAGGACATTTATCGTTACAGACAAAAAAAAAAAGAAGACAAATCCACTATATAATGCATATAGCCTTGATGCTCAAGAAAGAAACAACACTAAGATTGAGAGAGCAAAAAACTGTTGAGAGTTGAAAGTGAGATGGATATTCTTGGCTTTGGCTGCATGGCAGGCATTATTGGCATCTATGACCTTACTTCCGGCGAATCCCGAATTAGGCCTGAGCCTTTTGGAAGGGTGCGTCATTACTTAATATTGAAATGTTGAATTCTTTTGGACTCGTTGTTCTTACTCGTATTGAATGAATGAAGTAGATACTCAGATTCAATTGCTCATTATACATATTGATTTTATGCTTCTAAGTTAAAACAAAAGCAAAATTACTCATTAGATTTAGGGATAATTTCAAAAACCTCCCCTGAGATTTTCGACAATTTCATTCGACTTCCTTGAGGTTTACATAATTACATAGACCTCTCTTGTTGTGATAAAAAGACAATAATACCCTTTATTAATTGTCAACTTATTGAAAAACTCTATCAAATATTAAAAATCTCTCATCGATTATTAACCAATAATTCAAACCATAGTTTTTTTAATTTAACTATCTATTTTCTTTCTTATATATTTATATTTCTTTCAAATCCATTTATCTATTATTATCAATCAAATGTGTACTGTCGCTACTAATAAAATCAGCATACACACTAAATCACAAATACTTATATATCTTAGTATCTATTCCTAATCATCGATTTTCCATTATTAGTAAATAGTTTCCTTGCGCCCATTTTTGTTTTCAATTTTTGATAGGTATTAGCAAATTGAAATTGTCAAATGACAAATTGATTGCTAATTTCATTATCAAATTAGATGGAGATGAAGATAGTGACAGTGATAAAAAATAAAAATTAAGGATAAGAAATAGAATAGAAACTAAATATAAGTTATACTATTATGGTTATCATGAAAAAAAGTGTTCTTGGTATATATTTATAACTGCATTGTATTTCTATTTTTGATTTACAATTATTGATATTATTCCTATAGAGGGAATTTGATTGATTTTGAACTCTGTGCCAATGAAATATAT